CCTATGATTTATCCTAATTTTATTTTCAAAATTTAATCAATGTTTTTCAACTTCTATCAAGGTACCACCTGGATCGACGTATACTGCTATTGAAGCTCCGAAAGGTGAATTTGGAGTTTATTTAGTCTCCGATGGTACAAACAAACCATACAGATGCAAAATTAAAGCTCCAGGCTTTGCTCACTTGGCGGCAATAGATAAACTTTGTCGGGGTTTTATGTTACCCGATGTAGTCGCAGTTATAGGTAACAGTTCAGTGTGTTTAATTTTGATATTGTTAATAATTTTTATGAATATTTTATATTTAATGTTTTAGAATTTTTAATATAAGTGATTAAAATGAACATTTTTCAAAGGATGAGTTTCTGTTTATCCTTTAGATGATTTTGAACTCTTAGTTTGTTTTGGTTGAATTGATCCATGTTCACAAGGTGCTTAATTATGAGGTTTCCTATGGAATTTGTATTTTTCTTTGAATGTTGTATGTGTATCAATAAATATCGGTGGATATCCACTTTTGCTGAGTTATTTCTATCACAGGTCGTTTAGGCAAACAGACTCGACATTGAAAGTCATTAACAAGGTGAACAAAAACCTGTCAACTACAGTGAGCTTAAATTTTCTTAGCATTACTGAAACATTCGACATACATTTAGGAATTCTAGAACTGTGTACATAGTGGATGTTTACCAAGAAATTATGCCATGCGAAGTATAAAAGTAAAATTATGAAAGAGGGAAACAAGACGAAATGTTCATTTTAATATTAAAAGATAGAGGACGAGATGAGTAATAGATGTAATTCGTGGAGCTCATGTTAAATTTCTATTTGCCGTAATATTTATTTAAAAAAGATATAACCGGAACCTGCATTAACGTCAATACTGACCACAAATTATCTCTGATAAATAGCTTGTCATTCAACACTTGTGACCCTTTGATCTCAGAAAATCATTCTTTAAGATTTAATTGTTCTTTGTTTACGACCGTTTCGTATCAGAAACTAGTCATTACTTTTACCAATCAATTATGTCTAAGCTGAATTAGCGATCAGTTAATCAAAAGCCATTCTTTTCTAAATAGGCTTAGACTACTTAATCATATTTAAATAATATATTGAATTAAAAACAATAAATGACTCCAGAAAGCGTCAGATAATGATATTGACGTTTAGACTTGAACACAATAGTTAAATCTAACTCTGTACATTTCTTTCCTATAAATAGTCTAAATACTACCCTTTTGAAGACAAACCCTATGATGATTTTAATTTTGTTGGTGTGAATTGAATCAATAAATGTAATGGTTTCGGTGTTCACTTGCTTATTTCAGCTATATACTACTGGTTCCAATTATCATTTTTTCCTATCAAAAGAATATATGTATTAGCAAATAAAACAAATAATTGATTTATAAAACAAATCTTCCAAAGAAAACAAAATGTATCAGTATCATTACTTCGCTTATTTCCCCTCGACGTTATTTGTGATCAACTTGCGTCCTAACAGTCTGTAACTACGTTCACTTACTGAAGTCATTAGATCGAGGTGTTATGTCCAGTTTAAATATATTCCATGGGTTATCTTGATTCCCTCCATAGTGTATATATGTTGATTTTGAATGTGTTGTGTTTTGTGAGCTGGATGGTTTAGTGATCATAACACTATCAACGTTCTCATGCTGAACCATAAATATTCTCTTTTATCTCAGTATATTGATTTCATTTCTAATATACAGCCTTGAATATTTTTGGCTTGTTTGTACAAAAGGATTGCCTTTTGTATAGATGGAATACACATTTATGAAATCCCTTCATTTTACTGATATTTCAATATTCACTGTTTATTATATATTTTTGGTAGGTATCTCATCTTGTTTAATCTATAAAATTTATGGTTAGTGTTATAACTTGTGGCCTTTTGCCCTATTAATATATGATGTAATTATACCACCAATTAGAGACCAATGACGCGTAAACCCGCACAAGCAGTCTATCTTCCTTATCGATCCTTCTTCCTGCCTAGATCTACTTGTTGAGTTCAGAACAACAACCTCAGCCTCTGCGATATTAATCATGTATTTCAAACATACTGGGTTTATATAAAAACCAAACAGACCACATCGTACCATAAAATGGAAAATAACATTTGTGCAAGATCTAACCAAAAGTGGTTGTGAAAGTGGAAGACTGTAATTAAATGATTCGGCGGAACTCAAGAACGGTAAATTGCGTAATTATAGTCTGTGGGTTAAAATAAAGCTTATAATAAGAAGAACATGAATATGCATAGTTTAGCTACTTAAAAATTATACAAATATATCGCATTGGTCCATAAATAGTTCTCAAAAGTTACCATTCATAATTCTTGTCGGGATATAACAGTTAGCTTATATTCGATGCATAATAATAATAATAATAATAGCTTGACATCGCTGACCGGTATCAATTGTTGAATTCATCGTTCAAAATTCCATCCACAATTTTCTTTATATGGTGCCTGTTCCGTTTGTAGCTTAGCATCCATAATCTAACAAATTACATTTCTGACCTACACCGTTTACCTTAAGCCGATGCCAACCGAACTCGTTTTGCTTCGCTATACTTTGGTCCTTCTCTTTCCTCGACCTTGAGTCCAAATTAATTATTTGATAATTAAGGGAAAAAATTCTAAAAGTTTCCTTCAGATAGGACAGTTCAGAGTGGTCGATTTTTTCCAATACCCGTCCAGTTATAACGATAATGTTAATGATATTAATGACCATTCAATACTGTATGTTTAGTACAATGTGAAATTTTTAGAATACAATATTTCGACAAGTTACTCCTACTCTTGTTATATATGGATGAAATGAGTAAATAGAATTCTATTGAATCGAAGTATTTGTAGAAAAGAAATTAAAATTTACATAACTGTGAATTAGATAAGTGATATGATTTCCAAAGAAAATTTAGTGAAATCTAAACTTCAACATTTAAATTCATTGGTAATTAACTTACAGTGTTTATTTATTTACTTACTTTTTTATGCTTCCATTTAATAACTGCAATGGTTTAGGTACTTTGGATATTGTATTTGGGGAAGTGGATCGATAGACCTGTATATCAATTAGTAAACAATTTAAGAAGATTAAAGTCAACCTGTTTCTTCTTTTAGTAATATTGATTTAATATGTATTTCAATAAAAAGAGAGAAGAACTTTCGATTGTTTTGCTTTTATTACATTGACTGGATTGTTGTTTGTTGAATGTGAAAATATACTAATTTGTCTACATGAATATTTTCAAAATTTGTGTAAAATCAGTTGTAAACATAAATTATAAGCTTCTAATGATTTCAGAGCAAATTTAATTAATAATAATGTATTCGCTATCATGACTGACTTGAACAGTTTATAAATAAATACCCCATTTTTATTCTAGTAAAATAGTATATTGATATGTTGAATAGGAATTTTTTCGCACCTATTCCTTACCTCGTTTAGATGTAATCAGGTTACGTCAACAGCATTAGACAACATGTTTCGGTACAAAATGTTATTTATAGATTAAAATTAAACCATTCACCAGGTACTTAGCCATGAGTCGTACTCTAAGTGTAGGGTCTAATGATACTATGCGAATCCCCATACCGAAGTAGGTGGAGAGGGGTTTGAACTTTAAACTCAGTCACCAAAAGTCAAAACCATTAACTGCCACCGTATAATGTAAGATGTGCTGTATGCTTTCATGCTATCCGGAGCCACATTGACGTCCTTAATCGGTGCAATTCCAGTCGCGGTACAATCGCCGAACTTTAGCAGATAGAAGACCACCAGAAAGCGTGCTAGCCTTAATATACAGGCTCTAAAAAGTGCATTTGGGGTATCAAGCCCAGTCGTGCTGCATGTTACTCTTTGACGATTACTCTAAATTGTTCCCACCAAGCCTTACATGTAACTGTTTTGACCAGCTTGATTTGGCCCTATCAAAAGATTGTATAAAAATCTGATGTAGGCATAAAACAGGTTGTACTGTGAAAGAACGCAAGACAATGCTCAAGTGATAGCAATCCAGTAAATTGGAGGGAGGATAGCAAGAAAACCATGGATTAAATTAGTCTGAAAAGGTGAAATGGGATGACAAGACCACTTGAAGCGATTGACGTATCCATTAAAGAAATTGTGTGATTGGTTGGTAACCTCAACCATGAGAAAACGTGGAAATCGCCCGATCCATCAGCCTCAACGCATTTTGATGGATAGCTCTCAGGAACAATAGATGAAGTAGCTTCTGTCTGAAACTATGGTGTGTCATTTCCATCTGTTGTTACGGCTCATGGGGCTTGTTGGATATTCAGTAGATAATCATGAAGAGCCTATGCATGATCTTAGTGGCAGCAGTCCTTGTAACTAAACAGAATACTGAGATAGTAAATTCTTTCCGAACAATGTGTGAAGGTTACTACCCCGTCAATAACGAAGTAAGTCAGTGCAAGGGCCGTTAATTTATTATGTACACTGGATACAATGTTTGGAATCCAACTGTTCATTGTGGTAATTTCATACACTGCATGATGTAATTGTTTCGTTAGCTTATTTAGTTTGCACTATTGGTACAAATATCGCCAAATCGTCTCCATATACTATATAATCCAAGTGTCCACTTCGACAGTGAGATAAAATTATACCTAAACTGTACACAAGTTGTGTGCTTGTTTGCATTTATTATCAAGTCCTATATGAAATCCAACGGGTATATAAATTTACGTTTACGCCGTCGTTTTCATATGCAGTCAATAATGTATCCAGATTGTAGTTCAATTGATCACGAGACATAATGTTCTTAGCATGAAGCTCATAGTTAATTAGTGGAGGTTAACTATCTTGTTAGATTCAATTATTTTCGACAGGTTATTTCAGTAATCTTTCTTCTTATCAAATATTTGCTTATAATGGTTGAATAATCATCTTGATTGTTTTTTTGTCATACTTTTTTAAAAAATCTCCGACTATAGGATCGTTATGGATTACGATAAGCTCTCCACCCAAACAAAATGTCTTCTTCATACAGTCTCAGAAAGTATTGGTCAATTAGAAAGTATGATACATAGTTTAAAGTCAAGTTTGGAACTGAATGAAATAAATAAATTGTATTACAGCTTAAAACAAGATATACAAAATGTTTGTTCATTTTTTGTAAACAGTGATATGTTGTTTATTGTTTATTGATGCAACGATTTGTCCTGTAGTTTTTTGATTATAAAGTAAACTTAAATGAAGATCGTGCTACACCACAAATCGACTGGATTTAGAAATGACAGTCATTGGATTTCGACTCAGTAAATAAATAGTATAGTGTTGACTATAGGTCACTTCCAATCCACATTATCGCTTAGCAGTCTTCAACTCAAACTAAATCTGTTCTAATCCATTCTTGATCCAAACGATGTTACTACATGATGAAAATCAGCAGTTAATTATAAGCGTAGATAAACATAAAATCAGTTCGATATAGTTGGACAGGTAAAAATGTACCAATCAATAAGAAACAGCTTCCGACTAACCAATCTAATACAAGAACTAGTTACTCATCAGTAATATAGTTGTAATACAAGTCCTACACCATCTTTCAAACGTGCAAATCGCTTAACCATATAACTATTGTGAATCTGATAAATTGAAATAAAACACATAAAGGGGTGATAGATATGATCTTTATTTGTGTGCTAAGTCAACATTAAATGTTACCCATGAAACGTATAATTAACGACTGATTTGTCCAACATGTGCTTAACTTACTTTTTAATATTCAAAATTGCATCGATTTCTGCAGGTTTGTTTTGGACATAATAATTATTATTCATTATATGATCCTTTTTATACTATGTGAAGAAATGTCAATTTACATATTTATGTAACTACGGTATTCAAAGGAAGTCCCCATAAGAATAATTTAGCATTCATACGATTTTCAATATCTTTTATTTATTTCACAGGGTTCAATATAGTATGAAACGTTTTACCGAATAGTTGATATGATTATTTATTAGTAGTATGTCACTCCTGCCTTATCTAAATTTGTTTCGATTATAATGGTTTTACTTTTTTATTTGACTTATTACTTAATTCATTTTATAATATATTTAAAGTTGTTTCAGCGTATGCGCTTTGTGGGGATTGTTGAATTTCATAGTTTACCTGATATGTAGACCCTAGTTAGATAAATGTTTCTTTTGAATCACACAAGAATTCCTCGATAAAGTATTCAGAAAATAAGAAAAGACTGAAAATTATTGTTCTTAATAGGCTTATGTCACAAAAGCTGAAAACATTCCGTCCAATCAGCTTACGGTATGAAAACTTCGAGGAAGTTAACAGATCATGTTTCAAACTCTGATTAGATGATTACTTACTCTGTTTCTTAATTTAGGATGTTTCCAAAAGTTGACAGAAGTTTTCAGTAAACCCAGAAATACTATTGCTTTCTGACATAAAGGAACCTTGAAACAAAGCTTCCCTTTTTAATTCGTGCCTTTTCTTCACCGTTCGGGACTTAAGTATCGGAGTATTTAAGAAATCTGGGAAGGGACTAGGGAGTTGGTATCAAGGGTTCTCATGGAAAATGTATCGTATTATAAACCGGGATGCATTAAGCATTATTTGACACTGACAGGACCGTGGATTACTGAGAAGTTTCGTACTAGAGTGGAATATCTGTTTAGCACTTATTTGTTTTCAGTGGTTCCCAAATAACATCAATTCTCAGAAACTATATAAACTAGTTTGCTCATAATTATAGATTTATATGTTGGTTACTTGTCTGTATGTTTTCCCTATGGGAATGCAAGGTCACTGGAATTAAAGCTTGAATAGTATCAGAAACATTAGCAATTATCTATCGTTTTAACATCCAGTTTTATTCCATATTTATATTTAATTTAATTATGTACATTCTTCTGTTATTTTAACGTTTTTTAACATTGGTGAAGCTTTTATTAGTCTTCCCGGACAATACCGTCAGTAAAAGCTTTAGAAAGTAGTTAACTATTAGAATTCCTTTGTAGGTGACTAACAATTGGTTATTCTGTTGACAGTATCTGATTGATTCTTGCCAATATTTGTGCTGTCATTTATCGTTTGTCTGTTTATTTCAATTATTTTAATCTCTTAACCTGATTCTTGTTGATTGTTATTTCTCCGATTGCTTGAGTGGTGGTAGCGTTCAACTGTATTCCACTCAGTCTGAAGTTCAGAGTTCGTTTCTCCTGTTACCGTATCTGTAATTGGATTGTATCACTAACTTTTACAATAAGAGTAGGACTCATTATATGAATCTATATCTTGTCAATGAGTACTAGTTTCTCCATAAACTGCACCAATTTCAGTTGAAATTTCAGCAGTTTACTTTCGATTTTGTGCTTAGGGTTTTATTTAGAATGACAATAATACCTTCACAAGTGAAGCATGCAACATGAAGAATACTTGATGAAAATTATCCTTTCAACGTGTGAACCTCATTATACTTAAGATCCCACATCTTTATTTTCACAGTATAAATCAAGAATTGATTTTAGCTAAACCTCCATCAAAACCTGTGAGCTCCGGGTAAATATACCGCCCGAGTATTGGACTTCTCAGTAGTACTCGTTCACAACTCCATATCTAGAAATAGAACCCAGGACCTTCAACATCGTGCTCAAAACGCTTAACCTTGAGACCACGGAGGTGATATCCAGTGATGTATATATCTAAATTTAATCAGTTTACGGTATTGCAGAATCGTCATCCCTTGTTTGTGGTGGATAGCTGTCTCATACTTGACATGGCGGGGCTCCACTATCATCAATATATTTGGATACTTGGACTCCAATCCAGTTGTGTTCAACAAAGCATTTTTAGTATAAGATATGTGATTCCTAACTTTTCATGTAACTCAACTTTAACGTCCCACCCTTGATAGGTTTGTATCTAACCTAAAGTTACGTTGTATGTAGAGTGTTGTGTGCATAGCAACATTTCTGTATCTGAAAAAAAAACAAGAGAGGAGTTCCGCTGACAACTTAATAAGCACCTAAAAGGCATTAATTTCTAGTGATGAAAGCAATCGAAAACAATTAACGACGATACTAACGTGAAATTCAGATAATCTGACAATCGAAAATATAAGTTAGTAGAGTAAGATACCGAATTTGTTACAAACACTCATTTTTGGTGCTATTATGTGTTATGACGTAACTACTTCATATTTACGTGATCTTTTTTCCTGTTGGTACTGTATTTAAATCGGTCGATTAGTTTCAAAAATACTTTTATTCATTATTATCGGTTGTTTAGATTAATTCAAACTGTGATCGTCTGTCAACTTTACTTTCAACTGTTGAACCATATTCACGTCGTTCTCAGTTACGTTTAAGTTTGGATCAAACACGTTTTGAATGTAAACAGTATGAAACTAATCTAAGAGTTATTGATAGAAAAAAGTAAGTACAAGATTTCATTGTTGTTTTTCACTGAATTTATGTTTCCAGTAATTGGTGGCTGTTAAGATTTTAATCCCTGTTTGTAAATAATGTTTTGTCTTTTCTAGGAATGAAAAATGGCGACACGTAGTAGAACGTGAAGAGTTATTATCTCATGATTTTTCTACTAATGCATCTGTACGTAATAATAATGGTTTGTCTGGCTCAACCATTATCAGATTGGATCCTGATTTAGAACATTATTCAAGATTATCTAATGTTGGAAAGCAAATTGACGATATATTGATATCAGGGTCATTTAGTTTAAGTGCTTTACAAGAACAAGGGTAAGTTTTTATGGATCTCATGATACGATATAAACTTTCGATGTTTTGTTCACTTGTCCTATCAAGTTTGACGTGCATTCGTGGTTTAAGTAGCTCCACAGACCCCAAGCGCTAATAACAGAAAATCACACGTAGACGAATACGTATACTTCTTCCAAATATTAGTTGGTTTTTGACTCAGGAGCTCTTTTCTTTAGATCCTTTCTAAACATCTAAGACTGAGTTGAATTCTATTTCGTGCGTAATGTCATTTAGCTTTTCGTTTTCATCGTATTTTTCAGTCACTACTGTCAGGTTTGGGATCGGACAGGTTGCTGTCAGATAATTTAATTGAAACCATTGTTTTGTGGCTGTGAATATGAAGATAGAATACTTAACAATTATAATCAGTGTTTACCTAAATATGCTCCCTTACTTTTGATTTCGTTTTGACTGTGGTAGTTCGCGAATCGAAAGTCTTTCAGTTAGCAAATGAGGGAATTAAGTTTCTTTCCACCTGATGACAAACAGGTTGGGCCAAGTTCAGCCTATTAATATCCAGGATATGTGTGTTCACTGAGATGAAAATGTTTTTATTTTTTAAACTTGGTGTAATAGTTGTTTTTAGTCGTTAAGGATCTTTATTGAACGTTTTCAGACAATTCTAGTGATTACTTGTTTCGTATGATTGCTTCAACTTAATTTGTAATTAAACTTACTAGTGAAAGTATATGCCAAAATCTTCACCACCACTAGTTATTGTTTGGGTTCAATCTACGATTCAGCTACTTCTTGTTATTTACTCGATCAGAGGCTTTATAAAATAAGTCATATAGTTTTAATAGAAAAGGATCAATCTTCTGAAATTTATGGTTTTGACTACGTTCAATTTTAAAGCTTTTGTTCTTAAGGTAGTCCGTAAGAACTTGTTCGTTTGCTGAAGCCAGTTCATAGTGAATGTCCTACCAGTTGTCTCCCTAAAAATACGGTACATCCGACTGCTGGCATAAATGACAAAGTACAGTAATACGACAACTTTCTAGAAAACATGTTTCCTTATTTTATCATATTTGTACCGGACTTTGTGTTTACTGATAAATTTATATTTTTTTACTGTTTAGAATGACTTTAAAGAAGGCGCAACGTCGTATCATGGATGTTCTGAATACTCTTGGTTTATCAAACACTGTTATGCGTCTTATTGAACGGCGAAGTCACCAGGATAAAATATTATTCTGGGTTTTGGTGGCTGTTACACTGATCTTATTTTGGGGTATTTGGAGATTTTTCCACTAGTCATTCGTGTAAGCTTTTCTTACCATCCTTTTTTTGAAGTGATTATTCGTGCGCGTTTGTATTTTGAGTGTTCTACGTCTTTCAATTAATTCTTTAATTCTGTGATTGTATCTGTGTAAGTTTATCTTTCGTTATTTTTGAATGTCTTGGGATATGTACTGATTTGTAAATAGCGGCTGTTGTATTTTTTCTATATATTCAAACATGGGATAAAATGTTTTAAATAAACATTTGATTCGGGACCAATCCTGGTGGTTTTTATTGTTTTTAAAAACTCGCAGAGACCTATTCTGACTAGTTGTGTGTTTCGTGCCTTTAGGTAACCCTCGTGCTGTTGACAGAAGAAACCAGACTAGTATAGAATAGGTCTTTATTTAGATCTTCGCGCAGTTATAGTGGGGCGTAGGATTACCTCTTAAGACAAACAAAGCCTCTCAACTTTCAATATAAGATAATAAGAAATATAACGTTTATACAAAATAAGGGGTGAATAAATACTTGAACTCTACTGTTTTGATGTATGCTTAGTTGTTTGAGGTCAACACTTAACCAATGAACCTAGGCTGTTAAATTAGCTTACCCCTAGAATCGACTTCCGTAGGAACATCGGTTCAATTAACCTATCTATCAAAAACATCTTAGTTCTGTTTCAGCAGCCCAAGGGAGAATTGTCAACTCGCTCACTGTTTGACTTCCAATCAATGATGACTAACTCCGTCAGCAATCGATGATAGTCCATGGATGTCTCTTCATTTCCTAGCTTGTAATCTTATATTGTAGCATGTAATTTATTCTACAACTATCGCTTACAGTTTGCTACGTGCCTGCAAGAGGAAAAGTTTGAGAAAATGAAACAACAATATCTGGGGAAGTGACGCGAGTGGGCTACCCTGTCTCCAAAATCCTTTGTGTCAAACTTCATCTATCTTGACGAAAATTAACATTCCTTTTGGCCTATTCAAATCCATCTTCCATCTACTTGGTTTAAGTTGTGCTCCAGCTATATTTCAGAAAGTTATGAATAATGCAGTCAGTGATAGTGAAGGTGATGAAGTTTACCAAAATGATCTTATTATTCATGGTCCTGACAGAGTAACTCATAGTCAGAGAGTTCGCTTTATTGCATCGTTCAGCTGAAAAGAACATTACGGTGAATCCAAGCAAGTGTTCGTCTGGTGTTTCTAGTTTTGAATATCTTGGATATCTAGTTGGTGGTAATGGTTTTAGACCAGATATAAAACGACTAGCTCCATTAACAAATACGCCATCTTCGAAAGATCCTACAGAAATACGTTCATTAGTGGGTATTCTTCAATACTATTTCCGTTTTATTCTTAATTGTTCTTGTATTATTTGATTATTTAATATTTTGATATCTGGTTCATTTAAACGAAGTGAAGAATAAGTCATGCTTACGAAGTATACTTGTAGAATTATGTCTACTATGATATTAGTACTGCAGCTTTGGAGCAGGAAGGTAGACCAGTTATTTGTGTTTCACGCAAACTTATTGTTACTGAACCAGGTTATTCATAAACTCAGCGAGAAGCATGAGCTGTGTTTTGGACAGTTAAAAGACTTCATAAATATTCATTCGCAAAGAAATTCACTGTTGTTATCGATCATGAAGCTTTAAAGTTTGTTAATCATCCTGAAAAATATTTAGCACGTTCCTCAACTGCTATGGTACAACGATAGAGTATTGCTTTGAGTGCCTATGAATATACGGTTCAGCACAGAAGTGCCAAACAAATCCAACACGTTGACTATATTTTTCGACAATCTTTGCAAGATAGACCTGTTAATACTTCACACTATTTGTTAGTGCAAACTTTGACATTAGAAAAACTCGTAGATACTTTGGATGTATATTCAGTGCCATACGGAAATGTTGCTATGTTAATCTGAAACTTAGATTTCTTGTCTTTTTTCTAAGCGGTATGAGTTATCCACTACTCCTGATGGCATTTTGTGTTTAAATGATCGTGTTGTTATACCTGCTTCATTGCGTAAATCTCTCCTTGAAGATCTTCATAGTGGACCTTCAGATGTTGAGGAAATTAAGTCCTTCTCTGGGCTCACATGTTGGTGGCCAGAGATAAACGCAGATTTATGTCGTACAGCAAACGAGGTGGACTCCATGGCCAGTATCGTCTGAGGCCTGGAGGCTAGTTCATGCAAACTCTTGTGGTTTACATCTTGACAAATGCTATGCGTTTGTTGTCAGTGATTCTGTTTCTAAGTGACCTGAAGTTTTTTTCGTAACATCAGGAAATCCTGACCCCACAATCTGAGCATTAAGAAAGGTTTTGAGCCGACAGGAGGCTTCTATGGTATTGGTGGCTAATAGTGGCCCTCATTTTGATGCAAACGCTGTCGTCACTTGGTTGGATGGGGAAGGGTAGAAACATCTGTACACTGCTCCAAGGCGCCCTTGTTCTGATGGAAAAGCAGAAAAATTCACCAGCACTTTAAAAACTTCTATTTATTCCATTGCAGCTTCAACATTTGATGGGCTGGGGAGCATAGTAGACACTAGGGGAAATGATTCTTTTTTCGATTATGAGATGTGTAGAGTCTGCATGTGATATTTATTGCTGTGGAAGTGATCTTCGACCAGTCCCAACGATTGTGTGGATAATTTTGGAAAAACTATTGGTTCAAACTCCAGATGTCAATAATTTATGTACACGCAACCGGGAACCAGGTGATTTCGTCTCGATTTCTGCTTCCGATTCTCATGCTAATGACTGTATTCTAGATCATACAAAGTCCACATCCAATACACAGTCGGACAGACACACGATGAACCTATGAAGGAGAAATATAATCGGTTATAGAAATTTAGATTATCATTTGAGTTGTGGCGGTTGTAGTATTTACACGAACTACCGGTTCTTTTATAAGCAAAGATGGATAGTGGCTAGCATTGGAAACCAGGACGCGTGTTTTGTCCTGTTTGGGACTCGTCAGCAGGATGTACCAGCATCACAAAATGAACATCAACTCTAAGATGCAGGTACCTCCAGCTGACGAGTCTCAACTAGGACGAAACGTGCGTTCTGGATTCCAACGCCAGCCATCATCCAACTCATGCGCCAAACAGATTGCGCCTGTGAATGTGATGGCCGATATTATCATTGTATTTCTGAACCACACTCCTCAATCCTTCTCTTTGTCAAAGCGATAGAAATAATGCCGAATGTATTCTCCATAAGAAATATTTTGGAGATAAATTAAACTAATTCACTTCTTTCTCAGTTCCAAAATAACATGAGAAACCAGATGTTCCGGGCGCAATGAGCACAGTACTGAAGATACTACATATCAGGGGTCTCATGTAGGTGCATTCTGAGACACTTCTGATTTTCATAAAGTGTCTTGTGTAAAAGTGTTTTACCGGCTCTCCTTAACTACGAATGAAGAAACATTAGAAAGGAGAATATCCAAGTGAACTTCAAAGGAATATCCTGATATAGGGATGGTAGGCTGGAAAAAACGGTTGAAACGAAACCTGTTTTGGTGCTGTATAGTGTATATTCAACCTTGCTCATCGTGTGTAATCAACGTTTTTTGTGACTGTTTCATAACACTCTTAGCCTGACATAGGCGTGTCGATTACGAAGAGACTATCTGAAAGCCCAATTTTTACTGGCGATTTATTAAAACTGAGCACCGCTCTCTACTTCGTAGGGCGACTACGACGCACATTCACCCCGAAACTGTTTTAACACTAAAAACCCATAAATCACCTCACTTTAAAAATATTTAAGTTGTGGCATTCCCTCTACCCTAAGAGGATGAAGATCCTTTAGGAAGGTTAAAGGACGTATAACGAAGTGGATTACAGGATTAAGGATAAAAACATAAGAGAAAAACGTAACTAACTAGGTGTCATGCAACCGAGTTAAAAGAGAATATGAGGTGACCTGAAGATGTAATACAGACAAAGTAAACCGTATCAACCAAGCAAAAAACGTTCAATTTTGACCTAAACATTAAGGGTCGTGATATCATATCTGACAAAGCGCCATTAACCTTGGATAATAGTCAACCTGAACTCTTCAGCAAATGTATGAAAGGCTACTATGGCGGGCATTTTGTAGAGGACACTGGAAAACCTCTCAGAGACTCAGTTTTACCTTCTTCATTTGGATCAGAGATTACTACATTCACTAACTTAACAACTGTTTGCCTGTTTTCTTAATCAATCAAATGATTAAAATACTTGTGTACTTGCTGTTCTTCTTTTGGCCCCCTATTCTTGTTTAAAATAATGCCTGTTATAACTGTTCGGTAGACTGCTCTATCTGCCACAAAGATAATGGATGTTAACTGTTTTAACATATGCATTTTCATCAGTCGCTACACAAAAAGCGTAGCGGCATATACGGATATGGTGAGACATTCGGTTTAAAATTATTGGTGGGTTGGTTGAATCTATACATTTAATTAGGCGATTACAGTTATTTGGAAACTTATTGAGTTAAGAGTTAATTCTCACCTTATCTAGGGATTTGATCAAACTGCAATTCTAGTCAACTGATCTAGTTGTTCACTCTACAATAACACAACGTGCCTACAGGTGCAATGTGAACAATTATATACTTTCATAGACGCAAACCGTTATGCGATCTCATTTTTACACTTGATTTAAACCTATGGCTGTCCTTGGTATTTTATCGAATATCACACATTCAAGGATTACAAAATTGTACTATTAAAACCTAAGGGATTTTTTATCAATGTTGGGTTTATGCACTGAGTGAAGTTTTAATTTTAGACGATATATTGTAATAAGATAAGGTACTTCAAGGATTCTTTGGGAAAGGAAAAACTACAGCTTCAAAGTTATTGCTAATTAAACTTCAGTGGACTTAGGGAGCCTTAGTTTATTCGATTTTATATTTTGTAGTTCTGTTCGGTGTATGTACTTGATAGTAGGTCAGAAATATCTCACCTCGATTTCGTATTGCTAATTTAATACAGTGTGGTTTGTGTACGCACATGAATGAGAATAAATGAGTTGTGCTATTAAAACGAACACCCTCTAGATCTAAGTTTTAAAATTTTGAAGACTAAAGGTTATGGTTGCCTTCAAGTTCTGTGTTGAAATGTTTTAAGATTCAGCGTTACCGTATCATCAGTAATATTTTTTTCGTATGACTTTGGTGCGCCGAACTTTCTGATTTGCTGAGTTTGTATGTTGTCTATGACTCGCTGACTGATAACGTTGATCCAAATCTTCATTTTCATGACCTATGTACGTCATTACAATTGTTACTGTCTTTTAATGGTGATTTAAGTAGCTTGCAAACATTATCAAATGAGAAACGTGGTTTCATGACTTTTGCCTGCAACTCTATCAAAAGGACTGTTTTCTTAGTTCCTATTCGCTAACTACGACTCTCCTGCTACTCTTGCCAAGGTGTTTCCGAAAAATCAAATTTCCATTTGACCTCATAATAAATCATAGATAAAGAAGTTTTGGGAGGTTATTACGGAAATCTGTGAATACAGTCTGTAGGTGCTTGACTGTCGGTATTGAAAGCCCAGTTCGGTCATAAATAGATTCATGAAACAAATGTAAATAACGACAGATCTGTGGTGGTTTTGTCATAGAGTGTTATCTATTTTCTATATGCATGGGTAACACTACAAAATATTGTCAATTAGTCTGACGGATATCCCTGCCAAATTGGTAATTTAGTGAACTTCATTACCCAATCTTTAAGATCAAATACATAATAACATCTTTATAGTCTGTGGTAGATTCATTTATATTAATAATGTGTTGCGAAATTTCCACCAAATCCTTTATCGAAGGTTTAGTGTTTATTAATATTCAAATTGAGTTAATAAAAGCTTAAAAATGTCATTTATTGAGACACTAAAATGGACGAGTTTGAGACCTCTATCATTAGGAACTGGTGTTATAATGTAAGTGTTTTTCTCACAAATTCTGTCTAAGCTATTTTCCACAAAATGCTTGAGTACAACAGTGACAACATATGTTTTTCGCACTAGGTAGATCTAAGTTGTTCTAAATAATGTTATATTAAGCTGTGTTTTTGGTATGATTCTAAGTGTCTATGTTTCATCGTTACACCTGGGAACTACTCAAAGTTACATCATAAGTTCCGAATAATCTGTTTCTATTAGTCTGTGCGATTCCACATAGTAGTACTTAAAACGAAAGATAGAAGTAATTTTTCTTGAATGTTAGAAAACTTTCATCTTTTTGTACTAAACCGAATATTTAGTGTATCAGTTATAAATATTGTGTAAGTTTCTGATAAACACAGATCTCTGGAAAATGCTGTTTTCGGAAGTTATTTGTCTTGGATTCTGTTATTCTCATTATCCCTTTTACAAAATTTCTTTCGATTTGATTGATTTTTGTTTCTGTAGCAAACCTAAGGATGGAGTATATTTTTTCATTACAGATGTCGAAACATTTACAGATGGCCATGTGAATTAATATGCATTCTACCCTGTAGTTTGTTTGAACCAGAAGGTTTCTACGTTAGAGTTGGTCGATTATTACATTAGATTGGTGAAGCAGTAAATATTCATGCGATGTTACAAAATTCGACCTACACCGATCAGGTTGAGAGACGGTAATTGTTTTAAATACGAATCGTTTTTGATCCGCACTTATATAGCCATTATGTCATTGTTGAAGTCATTTTAATCATTATTATGACAGGTTAATGACAGTCTTATTTGACTATTTCTTCGATAAATATTTAGTACATCTTGTCAAAATACATCATGTAAAAAATATGCAAGAGTTTGTGAATGACTTTCCTGGTTTATTTAAATAGCGATTTTTCTTTTGATCAAAATTTGCCTAAAATATTGTTGATAAGTTCGTTATCTTCTACCAACTATGCTGTTTAATACATTTAATAGGCATATTAAACCCTTGCCAACGTTGATATGAAATTTTAATTATCAGTTTAACGATGGTAGAAAAAGAATAGAAGTGATCGTAAAGTTATCGAACTTTGATTTCAGAGCAGTTAAATAACTTATGTTTTCCTAGTGCACAAAAACTATAGAGTGATTTTGATTTTATCCCCTTGTAATGCTAGAAATAGTATTAATTTGAGTATACATATTATTTTATCTAGTTGTATACTGTTTATATTTTGAAATGTTTCTATCTAACGCGCGATATTTGTTCTTCTAGATGGAATTTAATACAATAAAAAACAGTATCTGTCATAATTTATCCCCCTGCGTTAAAATTGCAATTTTCATTTTGATTGGTTTAATGATATAATCTCTAAAGTAATAGTCAATTTCGTGGATTAGTTGAAGTTAGACATTAACACCGTTAGACGCCGGCTCAGTGGTCTAGTGGTTAAGTGCTCGCGCGCGGAACCAGTAGGTTCTGGGTTCGAATCTCGCAAGAGGCGAGGTCGTGGATACGCACTGATGAGGAATCCCACAATGTGACGAAACGTCCAGCTCTTTCAGTCTTTCCATGGTGGTCTAGCTTAAACTTACTCATGATCTTAACCATTGAAATTACTATAATATCCACAAAACCCATCTGATATTAATAGTTAATTGTTGGTATCTTTATTCAGCCACTCGTTAAGATAGTATAATATCTTAGACGGAGATCGTATCTGAAGTATTTAATCACTGAATAATCACTTCGATGAGCTAAAAATTAAAGTATGACATTATGTTTAGTATTACTGACACGTGTTTTGTGCTGATATTTCTTCCAAGGAGCTATGAAAATTTGATATTTTGAAATAAAATTACTGCACACAAATAAAAGAGAATTTGTCAATTCGTTTCTTCTCTCAGTAGTACTTGATGATTATGTTATTGTAAGTTTTAAAATATTCTCTTAACTAAAGTTTAAGACCGGATTTTTGTTAATTGTTTAGAAGAGGCGCGTGGAACTACTTAAACTTGATTATAACATTTATTTATTTATTTGAACACATAAACATTGGTACAGAGGGCACCAAATACATATGCTCCACACAATAACAGTGAGGCCATTAGCAGTCATCACTGATTTGTGTGAGGGCTGTGATGCTGCCCGGGTGCCCAGACTGAAGCAGGTGGTTTTTTTATGAGACCACCCCCGAGCTTTTGACCTGGAGGTCTAATTCACAAGGTAGTGAAGCAACTTTAGGAGATGCGGTCCCATGGTACCCAGTGACCAACAATATGTTCATATACCTTTTTCCCTCTCAGAATCCTGGAGCCTATGTACACCACTGCTTTGGAATCAGGGTTTTCCAACTCCTGTATGTGGGTCACCCGTGTCTACCAACACGAATAAAGCGCCGGACATTATCTTTTCGTTCTGCTAATTTCGTAAGCAACACACATGCTGCGAAAAGGCAGTAATTAGGAGTTCCTATAGAGTGGCTATATACGCGTGGCCACGTGAAGGCATTTCGAGAGGGAGAGCGGACTCTCCCCACACTCGACCGTACCAGGGCACTTAGAGGCAGTAGCACATCCGCCTGTAGCTCTTCTAGGTCTACTGATGGTCCTAAGCCCGGGTAAAGGAGGAGAGTTTGGCGTGGGGTCGGCAACTCCATCCTGTAGGAAACAGCCATGCTAAAAAACGCTAACCAGAACAAAGAAATTAAATCATTTAAACCCTGCTCTGGGAGTTGAAGGAAGAATTATGACGCCTCATGATGAAAGCCGATATTCTTCGGAAGCCACGAGGCCAATGCCCCTTCTAACAACCAGAGCAACAATTTTTATAGGTAAATGGAACGTCCGGACAATTTGGGAGACCGGGATGACTAGTCAAATAGCAACGGGAATTAGGAGATACAAATTAGCAGTTCTGGGAATCAGCGGAACCCATTGGACCCAAGTTGGACAACAAAGGCTAAATACGAGAGAGATGCTGCTATACATGATCACCAAGAGGAAAATGCTCCACACACTCAAGACGTTGCTCTAATGCTGTCCATAGAAGCACGAAATGCACTTACATGATAGGAATTCCACGAATCCAGGACCAACAAACCATCATTCTAAACAAAGAATGAGGGATTTATGATGAATGTTTTTCAGTGTTATGCACCTACCAACCAAAGCAATGATAACGATAAAGATCAGTTCTACGAGAGGCTGCAGTCGATCATAATGAAGTGCTCAAGAAAGGATCTCACCATACTGAACGAGCATGGCGACAGATTTGCAAATCTGTGTGCATCCAACAAATTGGTTATAGGCGGCACAATATTCCCACACAAACGCATATACAAAGCTACATGGATCTCACCGGATCACACCACGGAAAACTAGATCGATTATATTTGCATCAGTAAAAAATTCACAAGGATAATAGGAGACGTGTGAACCAGGAGAGGAACTGACATGGCTTCAAATCACCATCTGGTTGTGACCAAGGTGAAAGTGAAGCTAAAGGAACATTGGATAGCTGGACAAATAGCATTACAATGGTTCAATACAGTTTTCTTTCGAGATGCTGACAAACTCAACGAATTCAAGATAACTTTCAGAACCTGGTTCCAATCCCCACAGGATCTACTGAAAGAAGAAACTACTATGGAGGAAAACTGGAAAGGGGTCATAAAAGCATCACAATAAGGAATGGATCTCGATCAAAACCCTAGACAAGATTCAAGAAAGAAAGAAGACAGTAATTAAGAATAGCCAACAAGGACAGAGAAAGTCAAGGTACACGCTAAATATACAGGAGCGAATGAGCGAGTGAAGAAGAGCATTAGGGTTGACAAGAAGAAATACGTGGAGGAGCTAGCAACGACAGCGAAAAACGCTGCAAGAGAAGGAAATATAAAACAACTATATGGAACGACGAAGAAACTGGCAGGAAAATTTTGTAAACCAGAGAGACAAGTCAAGAACAAGGAAATCATAACAATCACTGAGATTCAAATGAAGAGTGGGAAATCAGAAAGACCTGACAATATATCTGCTGAAGCACTAAATTCAGACATAGAAGCAAGTGCAAAGACGCTCTACGTTCTATTTAGAAAGATTTTGGAGGAGGAACAAGTACTACTCACAGACTGGAAAGAATGATATCTCATCAAGATACCAATGAAAAGAAATCTGAGCGAATGTGAGGACTCATCTACACGGGCATCACACAACTATCGGTACCAGAAAAGGTTTTTAATAGAGTGTTGGTGTACCGGCTGAAAGATTCAGTAGAAATCCATCTTTGACATCAACAAGCTGGATTCCGTAAGGGTCGGTCATGCACAGCTCGAATCGCCATACTACCGATCATCGTCAAAACAATCAGTTGGATGGAACTCGTCACTTTACATCAACTTCATTGACTATGAGAAAGCATTCGAAAGTGTGAATAGGAAGACTTTATGGAAAGTTCTTCGACACTGCGGTGATAAAATCGTCAAAATCATCCGGAATTTATACGACGGACTACAGTGCAAAATCATGCATGAAGGACAGCTGACAGGTGTATTTCAAGTGAGGAACGGAGTCAGAAAAGGCTACGTACTCACTCCGTTTTTCTTTCCTCTTAGGGTGGTTGACTGGATTATAGAGACTTTCACATCTGACAGGAAAGACGGAATAAAATGGACAGGTTAGATGCAACTAGACGATTTGGACTTCACAAATGACCTGGTCCTTCTATCCCACACACACCAACAAATACAGTGAAGACAACTAGTGTAGCAGCAACCTCTTCAGCAGCAGTCCTCAACAAACACAAGGGAAAATGCGAGATCCCCGAATTCAACACATAGAACAGCAACCTAATCTCACTCGATAGAGAAACTCTGGAAGGAGTGGAAAGTTTCAATTATCTGGGAAGCATCATCGATGAACAAGGAGGATCCGGTGTAGAAGTATAGGTAAGTATTGGTAAAGTAAGGACAACATTCCTACAATTGAATAATATATGGAACTCAAAACAACTGTATTCAAGTCAACATCAAAATCACAATCTTCAGTATGAACGTCAAGACTGTTCTACTATACGGAGCTAAAACTTCGAGAATTACCACATCCATCATCAAAAACGTACAAGTATTTATAAACGATTGTGTACAAAAGATGCTCAGTATTTGTTGGCCGGACACCATCAGCAGCAGTGTACTATGGGAAAGAAGAAACCAGCTTCCAACTTAAGAGGAAACTAGGAAAAGACTTTGGAAGTGGATAGGACACACATTACGGAAATCATCAAACTGCATCACAAGGCAAGCACTAAATTGAAATCTTGAAGGGAAACGGAAATGAGGAAGGCCAAAGGACACACTACGTCGCGAAGTGTAAGCAGACATGAGAAAGATGAATAGGAACTGGAAAGGACTGCCCAGTACAGAGTTGGGTGGAGAATGCTGGTGAGCGACCTATGTTCCTCTATGAGGAGTAACAGACGTAAGTAAGTGAGTACGTATAGTGATGTATTTTTTGGAATGAAGTGAATTTTCATTGAGATTCCGTTTGATTCGATCACATAATGCCGTCCCATTTACCACTGGTTTCTTGCAAGATCATCATCTTTAATATAGACGATTTTTGTCCCTTTTAGGACTATTTCATTTCCGAAACGAACAGTACTACTTAAAATATATTTCAGTAGCTACACCACCGAAAATGTATTATTTAAGTCGTTTGGTTGGTATACAGTTTGACAATTGTGTAATATTTTTTTACGATTCATTAGTGAAAATTTTATATTCTCTAGGATCCTGATACAGGAAAATCTAGTTGATCGTATTCACAGTGATGTTCATATTTTATGTAGTATATTGTACTGCGGTTGTTTATAATATACTGTTTAATCGATTATTGTAAGTTACAAGGTTAAGAAATTGTTGGGTTTCATTGAAATCATGAACCGACCAATGTTAGACCGTCATTCTATCGAGGATGCACACTGCTGAGGAGTCCCATTCTAGGAAAAAATGGCCATCCAGTTCTTCTAGGTTTTCAATAGTGGTTTAACATTGATGGTTTCACAATTTGTTTTTGTCAGTAAATAAAAATATTGCTTCCATGTTTTCTATGGTGGTCTAGCTTCAATTGACTCATGATTTCAACTACTGAAATTACTACAATATCCACAAATCAACATATGTTCACCAGTGACTGGCTTCAATGAGTAGATCCTGATGTTCTAGTGACGAGCAGTGACTAGTGGAGTTCGACCAGGTCTATTGTGAGATAGTAACTCACTGATGACAATGGTGGGTATGTCGCCCAATTTCGTGGATTAGTTGAAGTTAGACATTAACACCGTTGGTCTAGTGGTTAAGCGCTCGCGAGCGAGAATGATAGGTCCTGGGTTCGAATCTCGCGGGGGGAGGTGAAGGATCGTGGATGCGCGCTGCTGAAGAGTCCCACGATAGGACGAAACGACCGTCCAGTGCTTCCTGGTTTTCCATGGTGGTCTAGCTTTAGTTGACTAGTGATCTCAACTACTAAAAATATTGTGTAGATTACTCAGAAATGAGGTTATAATTACTAATCAACATACTGGATTGATTACTGAAAAAATCTTATTCTTGTGAACAGTACAGTCTTTTAATGGTGAGCCATGTCCACGTCCATGTCCTAAGGACTATTTTAAATATATTCGTCATTAAATCCTATCTCGTAAATATTCAAAGTTTATAAATATACCCTGATGTAGGGTAATTTTAGATTTGTTTTCTGGAGAGGCAGACACCACCTAAGATTTTGTACTACAATCTAAATAGCACAGCTCAGTCCTGTGGTTAAGTTAGCCGTTTCACGTTGAGGTGGTACATTTTGTTTCTATCTTTGATGCGAAAGAATATCCCCAAATTTTTTGCTAAATTATTATATTCACTACATAGATTACTGCTCAAGTGAACAGTAGGCGGTTTACTTGATCGGTTTAGGGCATGAGTGGTTGCTGAATATATATATCAGTACGGCTGAAGGTGAAGTGATTCCTGATTTTCTAGATAGTGCGAAATTCCTAATTATTAAAAATACACTCAATAGTCATGACATCTAGTTTTACAGTAAGTTCATACTAACAAATTTCAAATATTTAACATAAAGATACTTAGGAATTATTAGATGTGAACGAGCGAACATTATTGTGAAGACGGTTAAACACTGTTATTCATAAGTCTACATGGTTCCGACCCCTTAAGAGTTTACTTTAAACCTCAAGAAAATTCAACCGGTATTATTGTTTTAGAAAGTATATGCTTTTAAAAATCATTGTTTTATTACTTATATATGGGTTTTTGAGACGACATGATGTTCGCTTTTAGATTCCTTTTTACCAAATAAACTTACGGATTGATTCAAATCACTATCATAACAAATTCCAATAAAGATGAATATTCTTTCAGAAGCCAGCTGAAATTACGTTTTTAATTCTGTTCCTTTTTCTACTTTAACACCACTTCTATTAAGAATTTTATACTTCCAATTAACTTTTTATCACAGTGATGATTATTTTAAATTTCATCAAGGTTAAAATTATTTTTACTTCATGTATTGACCGAAGACGATGATTACTTGAAACGTTTGTCAACAAAGCCATTGCTAATACCGAAACTTTTATCATTAATTTCAAGTGAACATGAATCCTCGGTAAGTATTGTTATTGAACCGTTTTGGTTTACCGTTAAAAATGTTCAGTAAAATTGAAAGCAATTTAAACTTTCTGTGAGTCAGATTCTGTGTATTCACATAAGATAATCTTCTACATTTTTATCCTTTAAACAAATGATGATAATATTAACCTCTGGAAAGATAAACTATCAGTTTTATGTGAAATATATTCTGTATCATTGAAGCGAGTGAGCTTCTTAGCTTGTGGTCAGTCCTCGTTCGTAACTGATTAACATAATCGTCTTTATTATGTACTGGTATAATTTGATAAATCAATGAAAAATAAGAAGTATTAGACATTTATTTTTAATTCCCAAGCTTTCGGTATTCCTGATCTTACACGGAATCCAAGTGTCTTTAGGAAGTGTGATTAGCACACTACCGTTATACTGCTAAGTGATCTATACGTATTGATCTCAGTCAATCAACGATATTGTGATCCTTACTCAATTTCATAGGTGAGTTACTGCATTAATTTTGTAACTAACTCTATCTATACCAATTTTAATCTAGACATTCCGGAAATTTATCTTCACATATTCATTTTTAAGTTGACCTATAGTGAGCATATGATTATTATTTATTTAGATGATTTTATTTAGGCTTTGTATGATTTGTAGGTTTTCATATCAGTTCGTTGTGGAGTATTTTTTCACTATTTCTTGGTGGCCTGCTTGAATATCTGGTCTAACTGTTCCTGCCATTTAGATATTTCAACAAGTTATCTGTTTTTGTTTGTTTTAACACATCATTATGTCTATTAATTGCATAACCTACGAAAAGTTTACAATTTTTCTCTGTACAAGTTACGAAAAAGTATAGTCAGAGACATCATGGTGGCTGGATATATACATTAAATAGAATCAACATCATCCAGATGTTTATTCTCGAAATGCTAACTTCTAACTGGCGATCACTCATTATTTATCATCAGTATCGACCAAGATATGTGAAAAGGAAACTTGTTGAAATACCTTGTTCTGAGAATTCTATATTGTATCAAAAATATAATATTGAATAGTGCCATTAATAATAATAAAATGGGTTTCAAATATAAACGAAACTTTTGACTATTTCTTTACGATTTGTAATGATACCTACAATTGATGTCAGTCATTGATAATCGATACCTTAAAAGTTTCCTAAAAAATTCTCATAAGATTACTGAAATAGTTTATCAGTATTTTTTTTAAATAACTGTATCGTTCACATATGCTATTTGCATTCTTACTGATCATATTGTTTAATGATTATTTACTATTAATTACTAAGATAAAATTCTAGTAAATAAAAGTACACTAGTTTTTAAAATGTTTGCTTACTACTACTAATACTACTTACTTAAACACATAAACATTGGCACAAGAAGGCACCAAATAGATATGTGCCACATAAATCATTCGATTTATGTGAGGGCTGGGATACTGCCCGGGTGCCCAAACCGAAGCAGATGGTTTTCTTAGGGGACCACACCTCGAGCCTTTGACCTAAATTTCTAATCCACAAGGCAGTGGAGAAACGTAAGGAGATGCAGTCCCATGGTAGCCGATGACCAACAATTGGTTCATACGCCATTTGTACATCATTGGTTTGGAATCAAGGTTTTCCAACTCCCCTAGGTGGATCCTCCGTATCTTATTATACCTATTCTATTTTGTATCGTTTTGATACAGTTCTGTTTTTAATTGATTTTAAATCATTTTTTTATCGCATGCTTTTTATATAATAACAGAAACCGCTAGAAAGAACTAAAATTGATGAAGAGAATCTTTTGAAAATTCTCAAAATAATTGATTATTTTGCATTCGTTCAACCAATTGAAATGAATGGAATTATTGAAAATTTAACTTCTCTTTCAACATACATTATATTATGTTTAGAAAAATTAACAAAAATATCAAAATGTCAACGAATTCTTCGTAATCATAACGGAATACCAATTTTATTGAATTATTTAAGGTAGATTATAGCTTTATACAAAGAAACACTATTTCATTTCTTATCATTATATGTACGAGATTCCAGATTGGTAGAACATCAATGTACATTCTCTCACTTTGATAAACTAGGTTACTGTATCACAGAGTTGGAAAATAATTAGAAGATAAATTGTATCAAAATTAATAAAATATACACAAAGAATGAATGAAAGTTCGATGTTTAAAGCAAGAGAAGCAGTAATTACATACTTGCCAATTAAATCGATTTTCATTAATTATCTACGGTAACCAGGCAAAGGTTATTTTCATGTTTAAATATTTGAATAAATAAATTTCAGTCAGTAACGTCATGGATTCTCAATAAGTTTGCTTTTCTCAAATTTACGTAGCAGGCGTTATTACGTAATAGATAACTCATATTCTAGCCGTACCAATGTGTCCCGGGTTCTAACTTAATATATTTTAATTGAATAGTGTTCGTAGAATTGACAATTAGGTCTTTTCCTAACTTTATATGTATTCCTCATACCTTTTAATCATTGAATAAGTCATAGTTTCTTTTATTTTGATGATCTGCACCATAATGTTCAATAGAAAAGTCCATTCAAGGGTTATAATTCACTTTCCATTATATATGTGATCATCTGAATCTGATAACGTTCAAATCAAAGTTGAAAGTGAATACGCTGCATCTTCCGTTTATACGCAAATATTAAACGTGAGAATTTGTTTAAGGTGGTTTTATTGAGCTGTCAGGTAATCTTGGATTTAGGTTTCGTGTTAGCTGATACTCGTCAGTGAGGTGCAACTGCAGTCTTGAGGGAACTAATACTTATTTTGTAATTCAAAATCGCGCTGTCCGGTTCCTCAGTCTGAGACGCTATCAACGACCGACTGTTGAGTAAACACCAGGGTCATATTTATCGGGTGATTTACTACTGATAAATACCCACCAATCAATTTGCAATGTATCCACTAGTCTATTTGAATCAAGATTACATTCACATTTTCGAGATGTTAATTGGTTTCAGGTACTTCCCGCTGACGATTAAGAGCGTCAAGAGATTCCTACCGCCTGCCTCTAATCACTTAATACCTCAACATAGTGTTGGCTATATCAATTCACTTTGCGCTATTGGTCACATTTTAATTTGATCGATAGACATCAACTAGCATGAAGAACTAAAAAACATCACAGTTGTTACTAGTCAGTGATTATGTAATTATAAATACGAGATATTTTTTGTACAGGAGTTAACTGTTTATTTTGACAACGAAGCATAAATTATTTACTTTTCTTCTCCCACTCAGTAATCAGGTAAAATAGTTCATGCACTCGGTTATGAATTAATCCTTTTTGTATGAGGTTTAGTAATACTTAGTAAGCTACCAGAACCATAGTAGATAATGTAAGATTTATGCCCGGAATCTAGTAGTTGAGAGTGATTTGTATCTATTAATAAGTTATCGATCCGTTTTATAGTGCTACTTATCGGTCATATTTGACGTGGAATATTTATGTTTTCAAATCAACAAGGTGAATATAATAACAGTAACATCGACCATAAATCCCGGTTTTCAGTTTGATTTTACGCTATTTTCAATTATTGGATCTACATAATCCGCGTATTTTGCACGAAATGTACAAAGTGTTTTGTTTTTACAGTATGCCATTTTCATCCTACAGAAGAACTGTCATGATTTTAAATCGTTAGTCGTAACCAACAGTTATCACTTTTGATTCTCCACATGTTTATTTTAAATCCTCAGGTTACTTAGTCAGCAATCTAAGAACTGACCACCAAAATAGTTTCCGTTTCAAACTGTGTACTTTTTCTGAAGTCTATGCAAATATTTCATTAATATCATTGGTGTTTATTCGATTATTGGGTTTAAGTTGAACAAAATAAAACGAACTGTGTATTAAATTCCCGTCGCCTTATTATTTATACTTGGAAAAGAGAAACCATTACAATTCCGACAACGGAAAGTAAAAATACAAAGAGTGGTACACGTGAAAACGTACTAATTTCAAAACACGGCGATACTAGCCGAAAATACACTCAGTTATATATTGAATTGTGGACCCACTTGATTATTCATTAACAAAACATCACATATATGTAAAATGCCTAGATTTATAATAAAACCACATACTGCATTTCATGCTAAACATTGTTCACGCTGTACTATTACAAAGAATGTTATATCGTGAATAAACGTCATACTAAAAGTGAAACCAATCTTATGCTCAGCTGATCATTACACTAAAAATAAAAATATTATTCTGAGCAGTTACCACACTAACTTTAAAAAAGGAAGTAATATTTAGCAAATACATACTTACTTATGCCTGTTACCCCTGGTGGAGGAGCATAGGCAGATAAATATTTAGCAACGATCATAGTGAATTAAAAAACCATAATCTAGCCTTTTTATCCCATAATATCGATATGTTAATCATTTGTTCGGTGTCAGCGTTTAACTTCATTTTTCAAGGGTATTTGTGGCTAAGACACATGACAATTAGTAATTTACCAATTATATTATTTTGGTAAAACAGTCTCATCTGTAATTCCTTAGGAAAATTCTTAAAATATCTCAAATGAAATTTTGGTAAAATATGATATTTACTCATGATAAAGTTGGTATAAAAAATATTCCAATAAATTTCAGAGTATGTTTGCAGTTCGAATCCAACTTAAACAATCCTAGAAGCATAAGAGAACTGTCTAATTGTTCAGTCTATGTGAACTCGTCGACAAATGCCGTAAACACTTCGGAAGAATGTCCCTGTGAAACAAAATTGGTGAGCTAACTTTTATAGCTTAAATTGCAAGTTATGAATAAATTATCTGATTTCAAATAAATACATATTAAATATTTTGGATTGTTTTTTTTCATTTCTCAATCCTTTGTTGGTTTACATGGATATAATGACAATTAAATTTTTATTTAGATAATTAGTCTTTAAAATTTTATATAAATTGACATCATTAACTATTTAGCCAAAGATATTTAGAATGAGATAGTTATCACTGTGGAGAAGGAACTACTATGGAGAGCAACTGGAAGGGGATCAAAGAGGCAATCACTTCAACATGCCATGAGGTTCTGGGCCACAAGAAGCATCATCACAAGGAATGGATCAGTGTTGATACACTGGATAAGATTCAAGAAAGGAGGAACAAGAAAGCAGCAATCAATACCAGTCGAACAAGAGCAGAAAAAGCCAAGGCACAAGCTGAATACACAGAAGTAAACAAGCAAGTGAAGAGGAGCATCAGGACTGACAAACGTAATTATGTGGAAGATCTAGCAATCAAGGCGGAAAAGGCTGCAAGAGAAGGAAACATGAGAGAAATGTATGATATAACAAAAGAAACTCTATGGAAACCACCGTAAGCCAGAACGACCAGTGAAAGGCAAGTAGGGCAAGCTAATCACCAACATTGAAGAACAACGAAACAGGTGGGTAGAACACTTCAAAGAACTCTTGAATCGAACAGCCCTACTGAACCCACCCAACATCAAAGCAGCACCCACGGACCTCTCAATCGATGTTGGCCCACCAACAGTTGAAGAAATCAGGATGGCCGTCAGACAAATCAAGAGTGGGAAAGCAAAAGAACCAGACAACATTCCAGCAGAAGCAATAAAAGCAGACGTAGCGGTAACTGCAAGAATACTCCACATTCTCTTCAATAAGATTTGGGATGAGGAACAAGTACCAACAGACTGGAAAGAAGGACGTCTGATCAAAATACCGAAGAAAGGCGATCTCAGCAAGTGTGATGACCACAGGGGCATCACTCTTCTCTTAATACCGGGAAAAGTCTTCAACAGGGCATTGTTAAACAGGATGAAGGACTGCATAGACACCCAACTTCTCGACCAACAGGCAGGATTCTGTAAGGATAGACCGTGTACAGACCAAATCGCAACTCTACGGATCATTGTGGAACTTTCAGTTGAATGCATTTCATCACTCTACATTAACTTCATTGACTACGAAAAAGAATTTGATAGCGTGGACAGGACAACACTGTGGAGGCTTCTTTAACACTACGGCGTGCCTCTGAAGATAGTCAATATCTTATGATAGATTAAACTGCAAAACCGTCCATGGAGGATAGTTGACAAAGTCGATCGAAGTAAAGACCGGTGTCAGGCAAGTTTGCTTACTCTCATTCTTTCTCTTTCTCCTGGTGATCGACTGGATCATGAAGACATCAACATTTGAAGGAAAGCACGGGATACAATGGACATCTAGGATGCAGGTGGACGATCTAGACTTCGCAGATGACCTAGCCCTTCTATTCCAAACGCAACAACAAATGCAGGGGAAGACGACCAGTGTAGCAGCAGCCTCAGGAGCAGTAGATCTCAATATACACAAAGGGAAAAGCAAGATTCTTTGATACAACACAGCATGCACCAATCGAATCACAATTGATGGAGAAGATTTGGAAGATGTAAAAACCATTACATATCTGGGCAGCATCATTGGTGAACATGGTGGATGTGATGCAGACGTGAAGGCGCGGATCGGCAAAGCAAGAGCAGCATATCTACAACTGAAGAATATCTGGAACTCAAAACCATTGGCAACCGACACCAAGGTCAGAATTTTCAATACAAATGTCAAGACAGTTCTACTGTATGGGGCGGAAACCCGGAGAACTACGAAAGCCATTATCCAGAAGATACAGGTGTTTATTAACAGTTGTCTACGTAAAATACTTCGGATTTGTTGGCCGGACACTATTAGCAGCAACCAACTGTGGGAGAGAACAAATCAGATCCCAGTGGAGGAAGAAATTAGGATGAAGCGATGGAAGTGGATAGGACACATTGAGGAAAGCACCCAACTGCGTCACAAGACAAGCCCTCAATTAGAATCCTTAAAGCCAAAGGAAGAGGGGAAGATCAAAGAACACGTTACGCCGGGAAATGGAGATAGACATGAGAGAAATAAACAAGAATTGGATGGAACTAAAAAAGAAGGCTCAGGACAGAGTGGGTTGGAGAATGCTGATCGGCGGCCTATGCTCCACTTGGAGTAACAGGCGTAAGTATGTTATCAGTGTTGACAGTAGATAATAGTCGTTCTATGGGTGGACTAAAGAACTCCTTTTCAATTGTCTAAGTGTGGGATGCTTGCTGTGAAAACATAGGGTTTTGGTTTCAATCTTATGTGGGTTTTAGGTAGGCTCTCCTGAAGAATCCCGTCGTAGGATAAACCATCTGACGTATATTTACTGTTTTTTGATGATTCTTTTGCTAATTTCGATTTACAGTGAGAAATGGATTCAGAATTAATGTTGGTTTAAATAAATTATAGAATATCTAAATAAATTACTAATACACTGCTTTTTCTGTGTAATTTGATCATCAAGCTATATTTACTTAGTAGTTCGTTAGTGAATTTAATCATTCAAGGATATCTATATGGTGCTTATGATTCTAACATATCATTCAGGATATTTATTTTGAAGTTCCAGCGTACACTGAACAAATGAACTTTTGACAAATTTTACAGCAAGCTAGACTACTGTAATAAGTATTACGTTTGAATCTTCACCGAATAATATTATTTAAGAAAACTTTCGGTCGAAATATACCGTTTTTCCAATAAAAGAGGTCAATCATTTGCGGGTGAGACCGAAGGTCCTTGGTTCAATTACCAATTGCATGGTCGTGGATCCGTATTACTGAAGAGTCCCATACTAGAACAAAACGGTCGTTCACTTCTTCCAGGTTATCAATGCTTATCTTACTTAGATTGGTTTGTGATTTTAATAAAACTCAACAATCTTCACAATATCATACTGAAATAAATTTTGTTATTTGATCTCTTATTGATTTTTCTCAAGGTACATGATTTTGACCAAGATACCATACGGCGTAATACATGTAAGTTCCCATTTAGAGAAATTTAACTTCTTTATTAAGTGCTCCTTTAAATAATCTACACAATTTGAGTTCTCCACTTTTATAGTAAATTAAACAAAATTTCATAGATTGACGAGGGTTAGTTATTTCAAAGTAAAGTAAGATTAACTTTTCGGAATCGCTCGTAGTAAAGAATATCTACAGTCTACATAGACGTTTATTTTGTGATATTTTTATCTTATTTAATTCTAATCAATCACTAAATATAAATACAGAAAGTTTTTCTTTATCATGTCATAATTATGACAATGTTGTGATTGTTAGCTTTGATGGTAATTAAAATAAGCCATAGTGTCATTGAATAAGAAAAAGAGAATTCAGCGAAGAAAATTTTCTTTTTGACGGAATCATTTACTTAAGCTGAACATTTGTATATATAGTTGTATGGAAAATATATGTCTTTAGGAGGATAGAAAAGATTGCATCATAAAATGGATTCGAGACTAAATAACAATAATTACCTTGATTATTATTCAGTTTATTATTATGACTTTTAATTTGTCGTTTTTCTTTGAATCTGTCAATTGGACTATAAAATAAGAAAGATTAGTTCAGCGAAGAGTTATCTTTTCCGCGAATTCATTTTCAAAGCTGTACAATCGCAAATAGATATACTTATTTTTACAGGATGATAATAATACTGATAATAAACTTGTTATACATGGTGACAGTGAGGTTAAATAAACAAAGGTATTAAAATAAAGATTTTAAAAACAAGGAAAGTTTAATAATTGTTTGATTGTTAATGGCTTAAGTATTCATCAGGTAAGGATGGCTCAGCATGATAAAATAAAATGTTGAAACAGAGATGAAATGCAATCGGGATGATCGTGAACACAGGTCATTCAATCAAGACAGACTCTGCGTTCAAAGTCATCTACAAGGTAAGTAGAAGTCTTCCTAAGACAATTAGACTTCATCTTCTCTGCATTGCCGAAGCAATAGCCATACATCTGGAAAAACCAGAATTGTGTGTTCAAAAGAGACTGTTACAACCTCTTCTTCTACCATGGTCTTAATGCATTAAATTTTTTCTCTTTTTCATACTCTTGTTCCTTTACAGCCATTTGCTTCACCTCCCGTCTTCCCTTTAAATCTTCTACCCTCAACTGGTTTGTTTTTATTTCCACGATCATTCCGATTACATTTCATCTCTGTTTCAACATTTTATTTTATCATGCTGAGCCATCCTTACCTGATGAATACTTAAGCCATTAACAATCAAACAATTATTAAACTTTCCTTGTTTTTAAAATCTTTATTTTAATACCTTTGTTTATTTAACCTCACTGTCACCATGTATAACAAGTTTATTATCAGTATTATTATCATCCTGTAAAAATAAGTATATCTATTTGCGATTGTACAGCTTTGAAAATGAATTCGCGGAAAAGATAACTCTTCGCTGAACTAATCTTTCTTATTTAATGTCTTAATGAGTGTATTCCGTTTATTAAAAGATTGGACTATTAACTGACCCATAAATTATTTTCTTCCTTTCCCCTTGATTAGTAAATAACCTCATATTATTATTATTAGCTTTATTCAATATTATATTATTGGTACAATATAGAATTCTCAGCACAAAGTGTTTCAACAAGTTTCCGTTTCTTTCCTGGCGATAAATATTGAGTGATCGCCAGTTAGATGTTAGCAGTTCAGTAAATGAACATCTGAATAATGTACATTCTTTTCGTTGTATATTGCCAGCAACCACATTCTCTCTTTTTGAGCTTTTTGTAACTTTGACAACGAAAGGTTGTACACTTTTCAGAAACGCAGCAGAATAGGTTATGCGATTAATAGAAATAATGATACATTAAAACAAACAAAAATAGATAACTTGTTGAAATATCTAGATGGCAGGAACAGGTAGCCCAGATGCTTAAGCAGGCCGCCTTATGTTATTTATTCTCGAATCCATTTTTTGTGATGCAATTTTTTCTATCGTTTTATAAACATATATTTTCCAGATAACTTTATATACGAATATACAGCTTAAGTAAATGATTTCGTCGAAGAGAAAATTTTCTTTGATGGTAAATAAATACATCTTGGTACTATTCGACGTATTGCTATGCGATTGAATACAGTCAATAGATTGTTTGTTTAGAATAGTTGATGAACAAACTCATATTAGATCTTACTTAAACGAGATTTACTAAACAACCTTCATGTTAAATGTAAATTATGACCAATTTATGAGAATATATAATATAAATATTATATAGAAAGTTTCCACGTCTATTGTTAGCTTAACAATAAATAATACTTGATTTTCGGTTATATATATTACTTTTTCTTCTTCTTCTTCATAAAGCTATATGTGGAATATTGTCTCAATTGGCAATGAATGATTTTTATGCTCAAATTATTGCACGTGAAAATGGTATACATTTGATTGGTTCACAATTATTAATTAAGTATTCAAAAAATGTTAAAAACCAATGTTTAATAATTGAATCAGAATTGAAACAAACTAATAATGTTGGAAATCAACAGATAATTGATACAAATAAATTTGGACTAGGAAATATTCGTCATTTATACGTAAGTTATTTATTTTCAATTTTAAGCATCAAATTATTCTTTATCTTACAATGGCTTTGTGTAGAAAATTCAACTAGTCAGTCAATCATTGACAACGTAGAACTTCGTACGTACGTCCCTACATCAGTTCGAGTTGCCATATCACATTAGCACACAGATACAATTGTTGATTCAAATCCTATAGTGGTAGAGGTAGTAAGAGTATAAGCAGTAATCGGAAACATTAGGGTTTGAAGATGTTATTCAAGGAGTATAATACAGTGAAATAAATTTGGAAAGAGAAAAAATAAAGGACATGAAGAATTCAGAAGATTAGAATTTGAGAGAACACAAAGAGTGGATGCACCTGCGCGATTGCGAACGATTTTGAGCCGTGTGAATCAAGGTCTCTAACCATTGTTTGCTATCATCTCGCGGATCCCAACCAGATAGTCTACACCTGCCAACATGATTCAGTCTGCATGTCAATGACATCATGGATTTGTGCCATGTTTTGGCCTGGCGGAGTGATTACATTTATACGATAATATATTTTTTGTTCATCAAACGAATATGCCAAAGTTAGAATTGTTTACTATTGGGTTTTAAAATATCGATTCAAAGCGATTGTGTTTAGTAACAAAAAATTTCTAGTTTGGTATCACAATTAATTATTTAGTTTTCATACTTAAAGAATCCTAGACTAGAACAAAAAAGATATTTTTTGCTTTTTAGGGATTTTTTGACTTCCTATTCGATGTAAAACTGTAGAGATATTTTGTAAATTTGAATTTGCTTTAATGTAAATCTCTTCAAGAGAACCATCTTCAGTTTCTATCATACACGAAGAAGATATTGTTTATTAACTTTGGAGTCTTTTAGTTTACTCGTTGTTTCACCTTATTTCCAAGCATATTATACATGTGTTTATAGATGGATGTGTTTTTTTTACAGTCTTCTGTGGTCTTCGACATTTGTTGTTTATGTAAGATTTGTCTTTTGAAGTAACTAAGGTTGAAAGAAATGAGTGTTGTCATATCTAGATATCGAAAGTGAAGTAATAGTTTATGGCCGTTAGTTGTATATATATATATATATATATATATATATCCATTTAATTGAAACGTATCTCATATTTAACAATTAATAAAACCTTATTAACTTTACATAATAATCTTATGATTATATTGTATTCATTGTTGTGTTCTGTATTTTTGTATCACTTATCACATTTGTATACAAGGCAAATGCATTTTGTGCATTACGTAGACTATTTACATCTGAACATAATCGCCGTTTAATCAAATCATTTTTACCATCATCCTTATTATCGGAATTAATCGAAATCAACATCAACACATCAACAGTTACAAGTGATTATCAAAAATTAGTCAATCTACTTGAATCATTGAATGTAAGTCACTAAAAAAATCATGAATTTTGTTTTAGAACATTGTCTATTGAAAATAGTCAATTGTTCAATTTGATTGTTTTATGGAATATTTGACAGATTTAGTTTCATAGACCTAGTTTCTGTTTCGTATCTTGAAGAGAGCTAAAACAAAGAATTAGGCACAGTGATATAAATTCATTTTGTTTCGTAAAATTCTCGTCAGATACTTACAACCAGTAATATTTACAAATCAAATTTACAAAATAGGTTAAAAGTGACTACACAATTGATGTTCGTTGAACATTGCTGTGAAAACATACCGGGATAGTATAACAAAGATACAAGTAAATTAAGAGATTAAATAAAAATATTGTTAATGTATATATGCGTCATAATGTTCTATAACATTGACAACAATAAAAGACAAACGAACTAGAGATAAGTGAATAAATAACAAACAAAAGTTAACAAACAAAAATGGAATGTATAAAACGTAGTTCAAAATGTAATTATTGTACCTAAAAAGTATTTGAAAATTATAGCGATAATGTAAACAATCGAGACAGGGAGTTGAAAGAATTTTATGATGCAACGAAATAGATCCCTTTTTTCCAAATCAGAGAAATTTTAAGGACTGTTTTCTTCTAGACACAGAAATTCGATATTGATGGCCTAAAAGAAACAGTTTCAAGAATCTACGAGAAGTTGGAGGTTATCTTTTTATTATCAACTTTGAATGATCTAAATATATCGACTCGAAGGTTTGTGTCCAAGATCTGTGTAGAAATTAAGTTGTTCTGCCTTTTGACCTGAGGTTTTACGAAGATTTTCAAAAAATCTAGGATAAGCCCTCCTTTTTGTCTGAATGATGTAACCGCATTGAGAGGGATATATAAATTTATAGACATAGGTAACGGTAACATGAAAAAAAGTACTTGTCAGCCTTTTCTTGAGTTACTGAACATATTGTATGCAAAACTTGTAGTTTGGCTTCAGATTCCTTTCTGTCTAATACAGTGTTAAGCCTTTTACTGATTGTCCTTGGAACGTCATCATCTTTAACGATGGGGAGGATAAAGTTTGATTTTTTATTGACTACACTTACATTCAACTTGTCTTTTTATCCGATTTCGTTTAACAACTATTTCAGCACAAACATTACCTACAATTATGTAACAGTTTAGTATATCATATAATTAATTTGTAATTTATCTTTGGAACTGTATTTCACAGATCTTTAGGTGATAACAGATAACCGTCAAAGAATTATTCATCCTGATTATACATATAGAGATTATTTTTTAAAAATTAAGCTTCAAAATGCTCATATTTTTAAACAGGACTGAATATCCATTATATCAATCATTCATTTTCAGTTTTTATACTAAAACGATTCAGTAATTTTATAATCTAGAGTTTTAATTTTTCTAGATTCTCACCTTATCTACGAAAATTAAGAATCCTGAGATAAATTATTAAGTTACGTAACAGGTCGTTGTATTCTAGATAAAGAATATAAATGGATGCGCACTGCTGAGGAGTCCATGGTAGTCTAGGTTCACTTGACTCATGATTTCGATCATAAATGAAAATGGTTTGTTAATTCAATATTTAATTTAATGTGGCGTCATTCACTAATGTTTGTATAATAAAGTAAATGTTGTTTCATTTTTGTATTGATTACGTTTTATTTTTCTTTTATACTATAGAATGAAGAATATAATGAACTTATTGAAGGTATAATTTCTTGTGACGTAAATCGAACACCTATTCATTATGTACGTGAATATTCAATATTGGAATTACTTGGAACTGGTGCATATGGTAAAGTTTTTAAAGCAACGAAAGATAAAATGTGTCATAATAGTTATGCAATTAAAAAGGTAATTTTCACTGAATTGTATAATGAGGATATTCGTTAACTTAACTAACTTATATATATAACAGCTGAAATAATCAAGTCATCGTTAAGTAAATTGGCGAATAAATCAAAGGATAAATACAACCTGAAACAATCATTTCATTGTTAATTCAAGAGCAATGTTCCTAGAGTCAACTCTAAGTCTTTACTGACTCTTCTCGTCTAGCCCTGTCTGTTTGAGTATAGAACACAATCTCGGCTTTCATTGCATAAATCATGTATTTCAGATATAAGTAGCTTGTATACAAGCCAATCAGACCGCGTCATTCAATAAAATAGAAAATAACAATTACACAAGATCAAGCCAAAAGCGGCTGTGACTGTAAGAGACTGTAACTAATAAACTGGGAATAACTTAAAATTAGTAAGTTGTATGATAGTAGTCAATAGGTCAAATGAAACCCTATAATAAAAAGAATGTGAATATACATATAATATAGTTACTTAATAGTTATCCAATAAAAATATATGTAATAATAGTTCATAAATAATTCCTAGTATTTACCACATATTTATTCTTCGTTAGGAAATAACAAAGTATAACTTTATTTAGTTAAGAACTAATAATATGAAACTTCAATAACGAATTCATTTTCTAGATGTTATGATATTCATTATTTTTAAAAAAACTAACTGAAATCAAGAATGGAATGGACTGGTGATATTCGAGTGACTGTTTTTCATATCAAAGAACATATTATTTGTAACTGTTTACATTTTACCACTGCTGACATTAACGAGGCTTTTGAAGCGAAATATAGCCTTTTCGAGTCTTAGTATGAATATAAGCATTAGAATGCAGGTAAATACAGCTGCTGGTCACTATCAAGATAAAAAGTGTGAATATTAGTATTTTAGCTTATCTATAGCGATTGTAAGTTATTTCTTTTAAAGGAGTTATGTACTAATAAAGAATTTCTAAATATTAGTTTATTGAATAATTGATTTTCTCTTCTTTTATTATTAAATTATTTATTATGTTTCGATAGACTTTAATAAAGAGGTAACTGAGAGGATCACTGTGAATTTTTTTTCTAGTTTTATGGATTCATTTGGTCTGTAGTGTCGGTTATTATGTTAAGCCCATATACCTTATGTATTCACAAGTGCATTCTCGTTATTTGACTTATTTAATTCCGTTATTGACTAACACGATTTAAGTCAATGATTATATACGAGGATAGGCGATATATATATTTCAACAACAATCATCATTACAATGATCTTGGAGTCAGATCCACGGGCCACTAAAAGTCTATGTGAAATTGATGAAAATTTTAGAAACAAAAGTAATTTGTATTTTTCTTGCTATCAATAATATGTGTTGACACATGGAATAGAGTAGTAAATAATACCAATGGTAAAGATCAAGAGAACTTTATTCATAATTTCTGTCAGTTTATTTTCTAATTAATCTATATTCATAGGTTAGTACTAGTCAAATATTTTTTGGTCGAACTTCCAATGAACGTCAAAAGTGTATTGATCGTATATTGAATGAGGTCAATGTTATACGTCAACAACTAAGGCATCCAAATATTGTTCGTTATTATAAAACATTTTTAGATTGTAAGTTTCTTGCTTGTATGAAATCACTAATTCAAACCTATTTTCATTTACCTTTTAATAATACATGAGATTTATTATTGGGATATCTTGAATTTAGTCCATTTTTAAAAACACTTCCCTAGTTTTCGATGTTTGCTTGAGATTGGATTTGCACCCGATAATATTACTGCAAAAATACTTATTAAGGGGACTAACCATTTTCAGTAATATAAAATTTTGAGTTGGTTGAGTCATCGACTGGTTTTGTTTGGTAAACTTTTGAAAACTAGGAAATACTAGATACCTCAGCTGTCATAGTTCGAGACCAAACAAAGAATAGTAGTAATAGTGATTGTTAGTAATGATCATCATATCCATCAATGTGTGTTAACTGTATACATTTATAGTGTGATCGAATCTTATGGTAAATAGCAGTACTTAAGATTAAATCGGAAGTGAGTACTTTTCATCACCCTGAAAATTTGTTTTTGATAAAATTATTGGGTGAATAGTTTCTGTTATTCATTGACCATCTAAAAGAATGATTTAGTCATTAAGAAAAGTGGCTAATTTTCTATGATCAGATTTTGTTCAACATTTACCCTTTTTATCAGAAAGGGTTTTTGTGGATATTATAGTAATTTCAATGGTTGACATCATGAGCCCTATTGTGGTATGAAACGGCCGTCTAGTGCTTCCAGATTTTCTATGGTGGTCTAGCTTCAACTGACTCATGATCTCAGCTATTGAAATTTCCCCTTTTTAATAAAACATGCTAATTATTTAAATTGTTGTGTAATTCTTTTGACTGATACATGCGATATTCGATTTCAGTTCATCTCGTCTTCAATTCATTTGGGATATAATTTATTACACTGGTTGAAATCATGAGTCAATTGAAGCTAGACCACCATTGGAAAACCTGGATGCACCTGACGATAGTTTTGTCCTAGCATAGGACTCCCCAGAAATGCGCATCCACAATCCCGTGCCGTGAGATTCAAACCCAGAACCTATCAGTTTCGTGCGCAAGCGCTTAACCTCCAAACCACTAAGTCGGCTTCGAGAGGTATTTCCTGGAGTTCTAGTGAAAAGCAGTGACCACTGGAGTTTAACCGGGTCTGTTGTGAGTAAGAAACTCACTGAAAAACAATGGTGGATATGTCGCTCAAGTTCGTGGATTGGTTGAGGTTAAACATTAACACCGTTGGATGCCGGCTCAGTGATCTAGAGGTTAAGCATTCACGCGCGAGACTGATAGGTCCCAGGTTTGAATCTCGCGAGGTGGGATCGTGGATGCGCACTGCTACGGAGAAGTCCCACAATAGGACGAAACGGCCTTTCAGTGTTTCCAGCTTTTCCATGGTGGTCTAGCTTCAACCTACTCATGAATTCAACTATAAACTTACTAAAATCTCCACAAAACCCCTTCTGATAAAATTTACTTTTGTTTTCAGTATTTCAACTTACATTTAGATTTTAAATTATTCACAGTAAAGATGATCTTAATCTCACAGTTTGAGGGAAGACAGAGAGTGTATACACCTACGCTATTGTGATCGATTCTGAGCCATATCACCCAGAGTCTCCAACCATTGGTTACGATAGTCATGCGGACCCCAATCAAGTAGTCTGCCTCTACCAAAATGACTCAGACTAAAAGTTAGTAACTTCAAGCACTGATGCCGCGTTTTGGTTTGGCCGCCCCTCACTTCCTTCCAACCTTCCCCAACACTAATCAGCATTGCATATCGTGGCGATCGGTGTAACATGTGACCCAACCATCTCAGTCCATGAAGATATACAACCTCATCAATTGATTTATCATCATTCCCTAATATTCTGCGTCTAACCTCACTATTACTTTCCCGGTGATCCCAGCAGACGCCAGCAATATTTCTAAGGCATCTGTAGTCAAATACTAGTAGCTTACGAGCATCTTCTACTCTTAATAAATAATAAACTTGAAATAATCTTCAAAATATCTTTAGTTTCAACCGTCTTATTTAACGGTGACTTGTACAAATGAAAATTAATCAAACATTACATTAATTAATTACTAAATATTCGCTTACTTTTTTCTCGGCTTCTACAGCTGATCATTTATACATTGTGATGGAATTATTAGATGGCGTTTCGTTGACAGAGTTACTTATATCTTTTAAAGAGAAGAATATATATTTCAGTGAATCACAAATCTGGAATATGTTTATTCAGTTAATATTAGGTTTACGTTATTTACATAAAGAGAAGAAAATACTGCATAGAGACTTATCATCAAATAATATAATGATTAGTGAAGGTAACAAGGTAAGTAATGTACTAGTTCACTCTACTAATCCATTGTTATTTTAAAAGTAGTCTTCATTACGAGATGAAATTATAGCTGTAGACTGATATTAATCAATAATCACTAGAAAATAATATGCAAAGAACCCAGCTTAGTAAATAATAATCATGCACCTATATGGGATTATCGTCCAGATGAATTTCTTGAAATCTTAGTTGATGTGCGACGTTAAACCTATTCGGAAGAAAGGCAATAGTCACTCGCTGATGGTGACATTAGATTGAACAAAATGACAATAGAAAAAAGTCAGTTTCGACTCAGTGATTCTACGGTATATTGATGAACATGAAACGTAAGAGATTTGAGTGCATCTCAGCTATGATGGGCGCTGTCCGAAATCTGAGTGATATATAGCATGGTATTCGCTAACCCTCCAAACAGACCGCTTGAGCGAGAAGACAAGAATGGGACGGAAAATCTACTGATCTACCGAATAATGTACATAAATACTCATATATATATTCCTTATAAGCTGAATCCATTTCTTAGTCAATTGATATGTGGTTATTCTCCACGTCATTTTTGATTGTCATCATGTGGCCTCATTCGGCTAGATCTAGTTGGCTCACTATCTAACTCGTCCCTCCTGAAAAATAAGTCCACATCCTTGGACGTTAAGTAAAACGAAATGCAGTTCTCCCCATCTCAGATTTATAATCTGGCTTTTTTCTATGTGAATTCTTGGCGTCACGTGAAGTTCGAGTCCTTCTTCCGAACATTGATTTGGCTGGCGATACAGCATTAAGTGAGGCTGGGTGTGGGATTAATCCGGGTATTTTTCTCTGTCGCGCTCTCCCCTTGTGATCATTTTGAAAATCACTGGAAAACTGCCTCTATTTGTACATCATAAAAGGAAGGGGAGACCCTTGATTACAAATAAGATTATATAACTGAACGAACAATTTAAAATCTGGATCATAAATAAGATTAAGTGGTCGATCGAACATTTTCAAATCCGTGATCCAGTCAAGACACAATAGATTGATAGATTCATTGGTAACAGAACATCTGGATTTGATTATGGAGTTGTCCTTTAGGTCATTTCTGATTTTCATTAAGTGGCATTCCTGTTTGGCTACTTCTATTTGGCTCACTATATCAGTTTCTATGTGAATTCAGGAATATGCAATTCTTAGGAGGTTTTAACTAAAACGAAAGTAAATATTCATTGTTCATTAGTTTTTGCATGATCCTTCAGTTCGTGATGGAAAATATCTTCAGTTTATACAAGAATATAGGTTTTTTTCTCACTTAACCAAAGATTTTTTAAGTCTTCTCTGTAACCACTGTATAAGTCATTTTGTTCATTTAACATACAATCTAGTAAGATATCGATTTGAAGTCAGCTTAGAACAGTCTTAACTGGCATTTTGCACATTTACTTTTTAAACTAGTTATATCAGATATAGATTTCTTGGTTAATGTTCTCAAAATAATCAACGCTGGTGTTTTGAGAGTTTGGTTGAAATACTTTATGCTGAGAATTCTATATAGTACCCAAAATATAGTGTTGAATAAGGCTTATAATAGTAATAATAGTAATGTATAATAGTGTTGGCAACTGAAGATGTATCCTATTGAAAAACGGGCTTTCAAGCAGCTTAGTTCTTCTCTTCAAGTAACTTGCTTAATGAAAAACTTTTTAAACATTAAAAATACGTCATAAATTTCATACAATTAGTTCACTTTATGAGTTTAAATAAAGCCAGAACGAACATGGATGCAGAATAATATGAATTCATTATATTTTGTGGTTTCTCATCAGCTGCTTACAATCAAATATGTATTAGAATTTTACATTAAGGTAAGATATAGTGTGAAACAATTGAAATAAATGAATGTTTTCTTGATTCTAACACCAAAATAACCTCTGACCTGTTCTTGCATACATATACATAGTTATTATTGATAACCGTTGTCATTCCAATTCTTTTCATCCATCTATGTTAATTGTTCCACAATATATCTTACGTCAATGTAAAGCATCTGATGAGAAACCAAAAAACATAATGAATTCATATTATTCTGCATCCATGTTTGTTCTGGCTTTAATTAAATAATTTATACTTTTGAATTAATACACTTGTTACTTTGTATGACCATTTTTCTTTTGAAAGAAATTCTAATTAAATTTACTAATTAAAAACTATAATAATGAATTATAATATATATCAGTAATTATGTTTATGTATTTCAGGTTACTATAACGGATTTCGGTTTAGCATATCACAAAACATTGAATTCAAATGAAACAAAATCAACTGTTGGTACATTATGTTATGCCTGGTATTATTGAATTTATTTTGATGCTTATTATATATTGTATCATAAATGACATCTTATTTAGTAGTACTCCTTATGAATTAGTATCTTTTTACTGTTCACTTAAGACATGAAACTTTTAAGAAGAATCACGGTTAGAGTTGTTATTTAATGAATATGCAGTTTTTTCTGTCCATTTTGAGTCTATTTTTAAATAGTTTTCGGTAACAAACTACATCTAATTGAATAATAGTTATACTGCTTCAAATGTCTAAACTAAGGTAGATTATACGAATATTCGTCAAGATTAGAACAAATAGTTCGACAGAAATTGGGCGCCGAGTATAGAGAAGTCATTATATGTGAAAATTATATTTGAAATAATTAGAGCAACTGAAATTTAAATAATTCCAACGTTTCGTCCAGCGAACTTGTCTGGACTTCTTCGGGGTAATAATCAAAATCAAAATCACCAAAGAAATATATGGCTTTTTACCAATCAAAAAAGATGTAAATATTTTATAAATTTGATTATTATCAGAAGGGGTTTTGTGGAGATTGTAGTAATTTCAATAGCTGAGATCATGAGTCAATTGAAGCTAGACCACCATGGAAAACCTGGAAGCACTGGACGGCCATTTCGTCCTATTGTGGTACTACTCAGCAGTACGCGTCCACGATCCCGCCTCGCGGTATTCCAGCCCAGGACCTATCAGTCTCGCACCAAGCGCTTAACTAACTAGACCATTGAACCGGTATCCATGGTGGTCTAGCTTCAATTGGCTCATTATCTCAACCATTGAAATTACATGGAAATAATTAACTGAATAACAAACTGTATGTGTGTGATTGTGTATGTATGTGTGAGAATTAATCATTGACATTCGGTGTTAATATGTTATATATGAAGGAATAAATAAAAGTTCAAGTTTGAAAAATTGTTAATGAATCATCTATATGCATGTCAAATTTAAGGATCAAACAAATACATAATTTTTTGGTTGAAATCATGAGTCAATTGAAGCTAGACCACCATGGAAAGCCTGGAAGCACTGTACGGCCGTTTCGTCCTAGTATGGGACTCCTCAGCAGTGCACATCCACGGTCCCGCATACATAATTGTATTGCTAAAAACTCAGTCAAAAATAACGCTGCATGTGAAATGAACAGGTTGAATAAAGAGAAGGTTCAAATTACTTTTCACACGAAAAATTGCCGGGTAGTCGCTAGTTGAAGACCATCCTTTCTGTTCAGGCTGTTCTTGTTTGCCCATAGATACAGCGCTTCTGCTGTCAATCTTTTTTTATGAGTGTTAAAACCTTTCTGAAGTATTTTGGTCCTTTCAAAATTAATCTTGTGTCCTGTTTCTCACGCATGTAACACTATTGCAGACTTATTCTCAAGTTTCTTCAAATCAACTGAGGATTTGGAAATATTTTTCAAACATTGTTTGTGTTCCTCCAACCTTACATTTAATTGTCTGGATGTTTCTCCAACATAGGCTGCATTACAATCATGACAACATTCTGTTGTTCTTCCTTTGGTAACCTGTCTCTAACTTTCACTAATGTCGGTTTTAAGGTGTTACTTGCCCTAAAATACACTCTTATATCATGTTTTTTTTTAGAATCCGCTTGATTTCTTCCGATGTTCCACTACGGTATGTGGTTGTGGTGTGTGCTACTTATATTAACATAAGTAGTATATGATGTTAGTCGTAAACAGAAGGTCTGGAATCAGAGAGACAAGAGGATCGAACAGTAAAGAATGGAAACAAAATGCAATTTTATGAAAATGCAAGAACAATGAAGTCTGAATCATTTTGAGACAATCGATGGACATTTTGCAAATTAAGCATTTACTTTATGATTGTTAGGTTTTATTAACAAATCCTGTAATTTTGTGTTACGTACATGCGATTGTCCCCACCCGTGTTCTGTTCACTACAGGATGACTACGGTGTACATCCAAACTTTTCGTATACATCCTAGTTTGGTTTTTCTCTCATTTTTAACAATCTTCTTTAAAAACTCTTTTGGGTAGTTGTTATCCCTAAGCGTAGAAAATACTTTATTCAGTTCATTTCGTTAGTCTTCCTTATCTGTAACAAGCTTAGTACTTCTGTTCATTAAATTTTTTACAACATTAACTTTCGTGCACTTTGCATGAGCCGAATCAGAATTTAAGTATCTTTCTGAATGTGTTGATTTCCTATAAACATTTATTTTCAACTTATTATTATTGTGTCTACGTTCAACCAAACAATCGAGAAATGCGAGTTTGTTGTCAACTGATTCTAATTCCTTCGTCAACTTAATGTTTTCTGAAATACTGTTTACATTGTCAAGTAATTCTTCTAAACCATCCCGTTTATTGATAATAAAAATGTCGTCTACATACCGTAACCATATCTTTGGTGGACATATACTTCTTGCGATTGCACTAGTTTCTAGAGAATTCATGAATAAATTCGCTACAATCGGAGAAACTGATGAACCCATTGCTATAACCTCTTTCTGTCTGTAAAGGTGACCTTGAAATATGAATAAGGTAGATCTTAAACATAGTTCCAAGCATTTGATAACCTCAGATAGATCTAGTGGGCAACGTAAATTCAAATCTGAATCAGATTCTAAACAATCCTTGCTAATATCCAAAGCTCTATTTTTGAATATTTTTTTCTGGTCAGCGTTTTTTAACGAGTTAGTTTTCTACGGGACGGGGTTGCTAACCCCATACCCAACCCTCCTCCTTTATCCGAGCTTGGGACCGGCAGTAGCCCTCGGAGGGTCTCCAGACAGAGAACAAACCAGATCCCAGTGGAGGAAGAAATCAGGAAGAAGCGATGGAAGTGGATAGGACACACATTGAGGAAAGCACCTAACTGCGTCACAAGACAAGCCCTCAATTAGAATCCTCAAGGCCAAGGGAAAAGAGGGAGACCAAAAAATACATTACGCCGGGAAATGGAGATAGACATGAGAAAAATGAACAAGAATTGGATGGAATTACAAAAGAAGGCACAAGACAGAGTGAGTTGGAGAATGCTGGTCGGCGGCCTATGCTCCACTGGGAGTAACAGGCACGTGAAGTGAAAGCTCTATTAATAGGCACATTATTGAATAAGGAAGATACATCAAAACTTGTCATAATTTCATCCTCTTCTATATCGATGGTATCAATCAGATTCTTGAATTCCATAGAGTTTTTAATTCCATGATTAATCAGTTTTTCATACGGTTTGAGTATCTAAGCTAAATATTTGGCTAGATTATAAGTCGGTGAATTTGTAAAGTCTACCACTGGTCTTACTGGAGTATTACTCTTGTGAATTTTTGGGAGTCCATAAAATCTGCAAGGGTTACAACTCTTTGGGTGTAACACAAACCATAATGACGATCCTAGCTTAGCGTTTAATGACTGTAAGAGTTTACTGGATTCCGCCTTGAGTTTATTAAGAGTTGTTCTACTTTTCGATTTATTATTGAATTGTTGGTTGATATAGAATTTATCTCGCACAGCTCCGAATAATAGTCAAGAAACTTAGTCTTTTTCTTTCGCTCCAGTCAATGCTGAGTGTAAATAATAATGAGGAATCATTTCACTAATTTCAATTTCTATCCTTTCATTTGAGAATCGTGCATACTTTAATAATAATTGTATAATTAATCTAACAATACCTATTCTATATATTTTTAAAATGAAACTCATCTATAGTCCAGAAATGATACAATGTCTTCCATATGGTGAAGGTGCAGATATATGGGCACTTGGTTGTATTCTATATCAGATGTGTACATTTACTTCACCATTTCAAGGTGAATGCATTCTTAGTACTGCATCACGTATTGTAAAAGGTGAATATCAATCAGTCAAAATTAAATGTCCAAATCAATATTCTAATCTTGTTGATCAAATAATTGAAGTTTGTCTAAAACCTGATCCAGCCCAGAGACCTGATATAACAGGTAAACTACAAAATAAGCAAGCATTTTATACATCTGTTTATTGTATATGAATATAATTCACTCCACTCAAATAATTCAGATTCTTTTTATTTTAAAATTGCAGTATTTTATAAAAGTTTGAACTCTTCTGAAATAGATCAACACCTTTGATACGATTAAAGCTTCTTGAGAACAATGTAGATTTCTTATTGATCATGGTTGATGACAGGGTTGATGGGACTATTAATAAGATTTGGAATGTTTCTGATATGGTATGAATTTTAATTAGAATTTAAAATTGACCTTTTCATATAAATCACTAACTAGTATTAAACATTGCTGCCGTAATAGTAATAATGATTGGAATCATGAACCGAAAAATTTTGGACCACCATTGAAAACTTGGAAGCACTGAACGGTTGTTTTGTCCTAGTATGAGACTCCTCCCCGTACATAGGGATCGACTTCAGGACTTCCGATCTCGCGCGTGAACGCTTGACCTCTAGACCACAGAGCCAGCATCCAGTGTTGCTAATGTCTAACTTCAACCAATCCACATTAGTCGGTTCATAATTTTAATGAAATTCAGCGATCTATACAATCCTATACTGATAATGGTGATAATAATGATATTAAAATTAATAATAATAGTCTCCCTAAGGGAGTCTCCGCCGTTGTTGAAAATCGGTGCTAAGGATATAATGTAGAAATTATCACAGTTGTTTTGTGTTTCAACATTTTTGTGATATGTAAAGAGATTATTAAGTGGCATGTTCTTCTAATCTTGAGGTTGATAACGTCTTTCTGTTGATTTCATGATTTGATGGCTTGTAAACTATTTGTATTACATTCAGTAACGTAATTCCACGTACTGAAAAAGTATGACACTTGTTTCATAAAATCAGGTTTATTTTCTTAATATCTTAACACACAATAAATAAAGGTAATTAATATCACGTACTAACTTAGCATTAAAATCCTCAGCAGTGCACAACCACGATAGTAATTGAACAATAGTCAAATCAAACAGTCAATGCATTACCTTCAGTCTTGATAACAAATAATTTTGTTCATTCGGTTGGCAGAAAACGGTTGGAGTTGTGTTCAATGTATTGAAAAACATCTTGCTGGAGTAGCCTGTTGTATTAAAACCTAAATCTTTGTTTGGAACAAACTAACAACTTTAATTTTCATGTATGTATATAGGAAATTGTATTTTTAATTGATAAAGAGCATAAATTTCTTAGTGTAAATACAATTTATGTGTTTACTTCATTGTTTATTTTAGGTGTGGCTACTTATTTGACCAGTGATATTCTGTCCCAATTAGATGCTACACAATCAAAATGTGCAAAAATTAAAGGAAAATTAAAAGAGTTTCAAAATACCATTACATGTGATTTGTGTTGTCCTTTTAAACACTCTAAGGATGAACAAGTTTATGAGAAACATAGTACATATATTAATAATGTAAGAATTCCAAGTAGTCTTTTAAGCATGTATTATGCAATCAAATAACATATATATATATATATATATATATATATATATATATATATATATATACTTTACTAACTTGCTTACGCCTGTTACTCCTCGTGAAGCAGCATAGGCCGCTCACCAGCATTCTCCATCCAACCCTGTCCCAAGCAATCCTTTCTAGCTCCGTCAAGTTGTAATTCATCGTTTTCATATCTGCTTCTATTATCCGACGCAATGTGTTCCTTTGGCCTTCCTCTTTTTCGCTTCCCTTCAGGATTCCAAGTTAGGGCTTGCCTCGTGATTTAGTTTGGTGATTTGCGTAATGAATGTCCTATCCATTTGCATCGTCTTTTCCGAATTTCCTCTTCAGCTGTAAGCTGGTTTGCTCTCTCCCACAGAAGGCTGTTGCTGACAGTACCCCGCCAGTGGATGTTGAGTATCTTGCGTAGACAGCTATCTATAAATACTTGTATCTTCTTGATGATGGTTATTGTAGTTCTCAAAGTTTCAGCTCCGTACAGTAGAACTGCCTAGACGTTCGCATTGAAGATTGTGACTTTGATATTGGTTGAAAGTTGTTTTCAGTTTCATATGTTCTTCAACTGTAGGAATGCGGCCCTTGCTTGGCCAATCCTCGCCTTTACTTACTTACTTACGCCTGTTACTCCCAGTGGACCAAAGGCCGCCGACCAGCATTCTCCAACCCACTCTGTCCCACTCTGCCTTCTTTTCTAGTTCCACCCAATTCTTGTTCTATTTCCATTTCTCGGCGTAATGTGTTCTTCGGTCTTCCTCTTCTCCTTTGGCCTTCAGGATTCCATGTGAGGGCTCGTCTTGTGACGCAGTTTGGTGCTTTCCTTGATGTGTGTCCTATCCACTTCCATCGCTTCTTCCTGATTTCTTCCTCCGCTGGGATCTGCTTTGTTCTTTCCCACAGTACGTTGTTGCTAATAGTGTCCGGCCAACGGATCCGAAGTATTTTACGTAGACAACTGTTAATAAACACCTGTATTTTCTGGATAATGGCTTTCGTAGTTCTCCGGGTTTCCGCCCCATACAGTAGAACTGTCTTGACATTTGTATTGAAAATTCTGACCTTGGTGCCGGTTGCCAATTGTTTTGAGTTCCAGATGTTCTTCAATTGTAGATATGCTGCTCTTGCTTTTCCGATCCGCGCCTTCACATCTGCATCAGATCCACCCTGTTCATCAATGATGCTGCCCAGATATGTAAAGGTTTTTACATCTTCTAAATCTTCTCCGTCAATTGTGATTGGATTGGTGCATTCTGTGTTGTATCCTCGCCTTGACATATATATATATATATATATATATATATATATATATATATATATATATATATACTTTAGGACAGGAAAATCTGTTTATTCTATAGTATTCGATAATTTGTCGTAAAATAAGCAGATTTAGTTTCCAGATCGTAACACTGTTTTCATCGTTGACAAATTTCATAGTTATTAACACAAGTCTTTTTGCACATCTAACGCATTTTTGCACTGTTTATAAATTTTATTTTTTTACATGTTACTATCATGCTTTATGGTTGTTTTGTGTTAATGTATCAGCCTATTACCCACCAATTAATATTGTAAACCAAACAACTTATCTACTGAGCTATAAATATATCATTGACAAGTTTTTACAAGCTATCACTTACTAGTGTGAAGTAAACATCGGGTTCGATGTTGAATGCTGGTGAGAAGGCTATTCTCCTCCACGAGAGGTCACACCAGTTCACTATCCCTCTTTTTTATTATCGTTCTGTATGAGTTATTATAACTATGCAAATGGAATTATCACTCTTTGTTTTAACAAATTAAATATTCATGACCAAAGTCATAAAGTAACTGTAACTAGACAACTGTTCACAAACCACAGAACACTGTATATCTGTTTTCTTCTCGTATTGGACTTCCTAACAATGTATATCCACAGCCTAACCAAGAGTAAAAATTGACATATAGATGCTTTGTGGCAGGGATTATTCTTAAAAGTGTATATTATTTGATGTCTGTTAGCTTTGAATTTGAATAAGTGGGTTTCTAAAAATTACTTGGAAAGAGAACTTTTCAATTTGATTCAGAACATATACATATTTTTGAGTATTATCACTAGGGTTTGACTAGGTAATTTCAAATAAATTGAGCATTGGATAGATTGAAGAGGAAGAATGTATTTTTTTTCCTTGAAAAAACTTGGACCAGATTGCCAGGTGAAACGTTGGTTATACTTCAAATTCATTCGCTGAGATTTCACAAATACATTCTACCTCTTTAATGTCTCACATCAGCTCAGCGCTCAAACACTGTGAAACTATTCGATCAAATTTAGAATAAAGTTCTTATTTATTGGATAGATTGTTTGTAATAAATATATTATATTTGTAAAGTCCCAATTAGTAAGAAATCGATTTTCTAATATTTCATCACCTAGTTTAATCCACTTGTTCCGACAACAAGAATAAATAAACGAATTAAACTAGCATAGATTTAAACACATTGCAACTTTACAAATGTATTATTTCTATTATTAAATATAACATTTTGTTGTTTTATGATATGGTATCAGTATACTATCATTCATATAGCTTACTTATTTCTGACTGAACATGTGTTTACTGGTAAACATATTTGAATAATAGGATATTCAAAGTATAATAACTATTACAAGAAAAGATGGATAGCGGCTAGCAGTGAAATACATCACGCTCATTTCGCCCTATTTGGGACTCGTCATTTGGATGTACCTGTATTTCAGAGTTGATATTCACTTTGGGACTCGAACCCAATACTGTTTACTTCAAATGCCATCGCATTACTCACCTAGCTACTGAGTTCAGATAGCCACTTGCTTGTGCAATGGGGTGAAGTTTAAATTCATTTGGTATTGTTTACTTGAATCATCCAATTGATGTTTAGGACTTCAATTGATCAGTCAGGACGAAATACTCATCCTGGATTCCACTGCTATACACTATCCATCTTTGCTTATAATGCTTGTGAATTAAGGCATTATAAAGGCAATACACAGAGTATGCACATCTGCCAATGATAGACGAATCGATTGCATTCCTAAACATTAATGGGAAGATTCAAGTAAACAATACCAAGTGAATTTATAATAATTATTACTTGTAATAATTGACAATATTTATCCTGAATAACACTGTTGAACATGGATAAAAAAAAATTTAAACGGGAATGCTTCTTAACCGTATAATGAAACTTTTTTTAAGCTTTGTAATTAACTACCAGAAAATGTTTCATAAATCATAAGTTCTCTAATGAATTTAACTGTTAAAATTTAACAATTTGCTTCTAGTTATCTTTCAATAAGAAGTTAAGTACTACTTAGAACACGCTTAATTTTACTCTTAAGGTTTCAAAAATAAAAATATCCAGCTGTTGGGATATTCAGAAAAATATCCCGAAAATTATTCTGTTAAGTCTAACGCTATCATTGGACTTGAGATGGTATCATTTTCCTATTGGTCAATATTGATTTCACGTGTCATTTTCCTACTGGTCAATACTTATTTCGCGTGTCAAATGTTATTTTCTATTTTATGGTACGATGTGGTCTGCTTGATTGGTATATAAACAGAGTATGCTTACAATATAACGATTCATATCTCAGAGGCTGAGACTTGTATTCTGGACTCAACTGGCTGGGCTAGACAGGGAGGCGGAACCAGTCAGAACTCTAGGCGGTTCTTACGTGTTTTACACGTCTTTGGTCCAGTCGATAATACGCTACTCTCTAATCTGCAGTCACAGTTATAACACCAGCGTACTTTTATTATTTGAAAGGTCATTTCTGCCTGTTTACTAAATGAACATAAATATATTGAATTATTAGTTTAGTGGTTGTGGAGATTGTTAAGCTTATGATTGAGATCACGAACTGATTGATGTTAGACCACCATTGAAAACCTGGAAACACTGGATGGCCGTTTCGTCCTATTGTGGGACTCCTCAGCAGTGCGCATCCACAATAGACAGTAACACCATTGGGTTCCGGCTCAGTGGTCCAGTAGGTTAAGCGTTCACGCGCGAGACTAGAGGTACTGTGTTCGAATCCCGCGAGTTGGATCGTGGATGCGCACTGCTGAGGAGTACCACAATATGACGAAACGGCCGTCCAGTGCTTCCAGGTTTTCCATGGTGGTCTAGCTTCAATTGACTCATGATTTCAACCAGTGAAATATACTTCTATTGTATATCATAAATAATAAAAATTATAAATTACGTTTTTAATATGCCTAATGAATATATTTTATACATCAATTTTATGATTCATTACAGGTTAGAGTACCTGATTCCAATGTAGAAAGTAAGTCATTTTTTTTAATAGTAATATTCCATTCAGTATGATAGTTATAAATATGATCGTAATTTTATGAAGTTGTGTTTTTCTTGTGTGACCTGAATAGTGAATACGTCTTCTATTCAAACTGAACTCTAGTAGCTTTGATATAATGGAATAATTCACATCATGATAAACTTGAGTACTGCAGATTGTTCATCAGATAAATAAATTAAACGTTTACTTAAACTTCATTTTTAGTTAACAATTAGGGAAGTACATTTCTCACAATCAGTGAATTGTAATTTTTATCTTATAAATAATGATATTGATAATATTTCACAATTATGTTACTTACTTACTTTACTTTAAAAGGTTTGAATAATTTTTTTCTGGTTAGTGTTTTTTTAGCGAGTTAGTTTTCTACGGGATAGGGTCGCTAACCCCATACCCAACCCTCCTCCTTTATCCGGGCTTGGGACCTGCAGTAGCCCCCGGAGGGACTCCAGGTGGAGTTAATTATGTTACTTACTGACATTTATTATTCTCACTTCAATTTATGCATCATACAAATATGTAATTTAATTACATACATCATCAATGTGTTAAAGTAATCTTCTAGAATTACAGTAGTAAATCAGTCCAAATAAACGACTAATATATTAGCCGTTCACATTAAAATGGAATTATGATCATTTATGAACTTCAATTAGATTTTTGTTAACCGTTACTAGATTGGATATTGTTTCTGCTTGAATTGTGCAACGTTTATCTAATATAATAGTTATGAACAACGTTTTCACTTATGTATTGAATGAATCAAATTTACTTCTTATTTAGCTTGTAAGATTAAATGGGTTAATTGTAATTACAAATGATTAGACATGAAGTTATTTTCAAATAGTAATATACGAAACATTTTCTAACCATATTTTCACTCAACCACCTTAATTCATAAACATACTGCGTAATCATATATTAAGTAGGCAATGTATAAGCAAAAATACATCGAATGCCTTTAGCCGGTCATTTCATTGATTTTTTCTTATTTTTACAATATACTATTATTTATTAACTGGATATTGATGTTCAATATTGTATGGTGCAAAGCGGAAAAGCATAGATTGTTATCCTATAAATTACAATTAAACCATTAAGTTGTTGCGTTATTTCAACTAGTAACTAGATTTGATTGTATAAGCTATTAAGATGGATAAAAGTTTTAAATTTGTATCAAGAATTAATTTTTTAATTAGTTATTGGAATATTTCCATTAACGTTTAGGACTACACTTGACCAGTCTCTTATTGGTATATGTGCATCCTGCGCGAATTGTCTCGCTATTGCCTTAAGTTACAGGCATTATAACGTCAATGGGAATATTCAGACAACCAATACAACAATAAATTAAACGTCATCCAAGTGCCCAGGCTGGTGGCTATCTGGACTCAGTAACTCAGTAGATAACGCGATGGCGTTTGAAGCAAACTGTACTGGATTCTAGTCCCAAATTGAACATCAACTCTGGGATGCGAAAACATCCAGCTGGCGAGTCCCAAATAGGACGAAACGCGCATCCTGGATTCTACCACGGGCCATCATCCATCTGTGCTTATGGTGCTTGGATTACCTTAAAGTGTTTGGCTTGTCCTTGTGGAGTTTTAGCATCAAATCTTACAATATGACGATGCTTAAAATTATTATCCAAAATATGATGTTAAATTATTCCACAATATTATTTTAATATTGGAAGTAAAAAATAATGTAGATTCTTGTTAGATTGTTTTAATATGAGAACTCTGGGATTCTGTTGTAGTCGCTCGAATAACTACATAGTAATACACTTCTCATCGATTCTCAGAGTTCTAAATATTGTAGGAATGCTAGACAGTTACTCTCAAAGATGAAATTATTCCGAAGAAGACCTTTCAGGACAACTGATCAACAATAAAAGTCACTTTATCCATCAAAATTACACAACTTTGTACAAAATATTTAACTCAAATAAGTCCGATTAGAAGAAATCATTAAAAACGTAAATAATTGTAAACTTTAAATAGCGTAGGCCGAGCATCAATCCTATGTAGGTATTAGGTTAACTTCCTGTCATCTATATGAAAATTTTATCCATTTAATTAAAATTCAGTTAACAACAGAAAGCGCCATAAATGACTACAAATTTCACTACTAATTATTGCTGAAGTGTCTTATTTTAATTTTTCAAAATATTCACAAAATATTAGGGAACTACTTCCCAACGTCATCGTATTACTGATTATTCTAATTTTTTCCTTTTTAAAAAAATTACTTTTTTTTTAGAAATATCAACTACTGCACAAATTTTGCCTACGATAACAATCAATCAAGGTAATTTACGTGAAATCAATGATCCAGTACTCGGTATGATTACAGTAATGCATAAGTTGGGATACCTTTCTCAAGAATCCTCATTCAAAAATGATATCAGCTTAGAATATGAAGCTATTAAGTATATAGTGAAAAGGTAATTAGATAAATTTTATATCTGCTTCGTTTTTTGCTGAATTATGGAATGTTTTAAGGGTAGATTCTGAAAATCTCTCAGAATTTGTTTTGATACATTAGTACTGTTATGTTAGTTTTATGGACATTTCGTCATTCAGCTAGTCATAGATAATGTGGAACTTGTCAACAATGTGTATTGATCTAATTTGACATAGTCCTTTTCAGTACAACAATTGATAGATTGACTAAAACTGAACCCAGAAAAAAAATATATATGTCACAGTAAAATTATTGACATACAAGATATGGTGTCCAAACGAATCAATGAAACTGGAGAATAAAATGTGTAGAATGGTGAACAAATTCCATAAGAAGATAAGGAATGAATACAACTGTGAGATTTCGGTTGATTTTATCACTTGGTATCTCCAACTACAGGATATGATCATAATACTGATCTCAACCTGGAAATCTGTACTTATTAACATGTATACGTATAAATATTAATAATCATCTTATTTTAGTTTGGGCTTCCCTAATATTTTATTTCCCTACTTCTTTTTTAACCAGTATTGTGGGTCTTATTATGTGAAAGCGATTTTATACAATATGAACATTATCTTCACCACTGTACATATCAGAACAATGAATAATAACTATTCCATTAGGCTTTGAGATTCTATTGAAGTGTTCACTCATCATCACTTTTAATATTAAGCTGAGATTTTTCATATTGCACTTCTAACAAGATCTCATTAATCCAATGAGCCAATATCTAAAAGTTCATATTTCTAATCAGTTAATTTTGGATATAGCATGAACCTTAATTAATGTCATTGCTCTACTCTGCTTGTTATAACTTCCCACGATAGCACATCAGAGAAGCCGAAATAGCTTAGTTGGTAGAGCATAAAACTGAAGTTCTAGGTGTCCTCGGTTCGATCTCGGGTTCTGGCTGGCAGTTAGCTCTCAGTTTGCCCACAAATGCCCTGGTGCGGTCAAAGGTAAGGAGAATCAACTTTTCCTTTCGAAATTCTCTCACATGGCCACGTGTATATAGCCGCTGTCATGGAAGTCCTACTCACTGCCTTCTCGCTGCGAGGATTGTTGTTTACGAAATTAACAGGACGAAAAGCGAATGTCTGAGGTTTTAATCGGGTTAATGGACGCGGAGGGTCCACATAGGCGAGTTGAAAAACCCTGATTCCAAACCAATGGTGTACATGGGCTCCAGGATCTTGAGAGAACAAAAGTCGTATGTACCTATTGTTGATCACCAGCTACCATGTGACTGTATCTTTTAACATTGCTCCACTGCCCTGTGGATTAGACCTCTAGGTCAAAGAAAACCACCTGCTTCGGTTTGAGCACTCAGGCAGTATTCCAGCCCTCACACAAATGAAATGACGAAGTGGGGCACATGTTTAAATAAATAAGCAAATGAGAGCCAACTGGAACGTAGTTATGGGTAAATAAAAGTTGACTTGAAAGTTTCGCACAGTTTAGAAGTGATTCTCATCATTCAAATTATCATAAATTAAGAATTTTTGCTAAGTAACTCGATGTTGTTTGAACTAAAAATGTAAAATGAAATTGATAGAATTGTATGATAGTGTTAGCATATATTAAATCTTACCAACAAATTTCATAATTTTGTTTAAATATTGCTGCATCAATTAAAGTTCATTTCAAGTAAAGCTGTAAAATGCATTCATTTAATACTATTAGTTGTACATGTACTTGAGTAAGAATAAATTATTGTAAAGACAAATGCTTTTATTGTGGTCAAAAGGAACCTCTATGTAGATGGAATTATGAAATGTCAGTAGTTTAGGAAGCTAAGGACCATCATACAAAGTTTTTGATTTAGTTTGAGACTATTTTCAATCATGCTTACCTCAAATGGAATCAAACCTGAAACAAAATATGTAACATACAAAGATACTCTTCACGAAATTATCTCTCTTATTCGGACTAACTGTTATTGCCTAGATATTGGCAATAATTTTAAATAATACCATATGAATAATTACAATTAGACGTTTGATTAGGAAAATTCCCGAAATATTTTTATAAATAAAAGATAGAATTTATACGGATATTCGTCAAGATTAGAACAAATAGTTTCGCATAAACTGGGCCTCGAGTATAGAGTAGTCATTATATATGAAAATTATATTTGAAATAATCTCAGCGGTTGAAATTTAAATAATCCGAACGTTTCGTTCAACTAACTTGTCAGGACTTCTTCAGGGTAATAATCAAAATCAAAAACCATCAAAAGATAGAATAGTAGATTTTAAAGTTTCTTTATAGGAGCTTAATAATGAAGTTAAACAACTGAAATATTTCTTTTTTATTATTGAACAAATTATTCATTTATCCAAAAATTGACAAAATGGGATATCATCTTAGGATGAAACTATAATTTATGGACGACCTTTGAGCGACGCTACACTGACCTTGAGAATGTTCACTTAATAACAAGGACCAAATGAGAGTTATAAACCTATGTGAGGAACTCGAATTACGATTTACAGTTGATAGTTAAGGTTACGAATTAGATTTAGGGTTTTGATCACGAATTGACATAATATATAATGAGTGAACTTCGTGACAAAATCCGAGACCTGTTATCTTATACCTGATTGGTTCGTCCATAAATTATAATCTCGCCTATATTAATTCAAATTATCCAGTATGTTGAGTCTTTAATAAAATTGTTACAGGTATATAATGGTGGTAACCGATTATTCTTAAATTCTCACATTTTATTCCTTCTTGTTTTTGTAAGGGAAACTTCAAGTCGTTGATCACTGTTATAGTCAAAATATCACTAGATACTTTACTCACCATTCAAAGCTAAATATCATGAATAGAATTATATTATATAACAAAAAAGAAAAGATGTAAATATTTTATAAATTTGATTCTTATCAGAAGGGGTTTTGTGGAGATTTTAGAAATTTCACTGATTGAAATCATGAGTCAATCCGCGCAATTTCGTGGATTGGTTGAAGTTAGACATTAACACCATTGGACGCCGACCGGTCCAGTAGTCTAGTTGGTTTAGCGTCTGGCCCGAGACTGATAGGTCCTGGGTTGGAATCTCGCGGGGTGCGGGATCGTGGATGCGCACTGCTGAGGAGTCCCATACTAGGACGAGAAAGCCGTCCAGTGCTTCCAGGTTTTCCATGGTGGTCTAACTTGAATGGACTCATGATTTCAATCAGTGAAGTTTGATTCTGTAATTATTTTTAATCTTTTCTTTTTTCTTTGTACCAAATTTGTTATAGCTACCAACATCGGTTATTTGCTGCCGGTATAAAACCAATTACACTAAAAGAGGAATTATTTAAACTTACATCTTATTGTTCAGATTGTATAAATGATAAATTTTTGGAGATTAATAATAAAGAGAGTAATTCTTCATTACTGAATATACTTAAAAGTAATTACGTGGTATCTATTTTATGATTACAAATTGCTCAACCATAGTTTACATTTGACCAACTGTTATATTGTAAAATTACTATATATTTTTTTTTGATTATTGGAATTAATTCGATGTAAGAAGCAAGTATGGAAAATATCGTTAGGAATTAGCTCAGTGTTAACTTGTTGAGCTGATATTAGAAAAAAAGAACATAAGTATAAATGGCTATGAAAAAAGTTAGCTGGTTTGTTGACTTTTTCAAGGTTCACCTGACATTCGTTCATTCAATATATCGATTAAGAATATGGTCAGTCTTATATTACTTTTGGTATAAAATGCATTCTAACTTTTATTTAGATTTATCGAATACTATTAAAGGTGTAGCGGTAAATAAGTCCCCAAAATAAATAGCTCTGTAAGGTTTCGACATTGGATGCTGACCATATTAGTTTTAATGGACTCACCTAGCTGAAGGCGCTCGGTCATGCATCCGCCCCAGATCACGAGTGGGAACGCCGTGTTCAACAACCCCTACAATCGCTAGCCAGATTAGATCAGACGATCCTCAATATATTGATTGCCTATCAGATATATCTTCGAACCTCCTCGCTTCTGTCTCTTGATTTCACTTGATGCGTACGATTCGTATTAGGTGTTACTGGTTAAAGCGTTGTCAAACTCCGAATACCTGTGGCATCTTCAAAGGTAAAAGCTCAACGAGTCAGTTTATCTCAATAATTTCTCAAAGGTTTTTAAACTAGGCTTCAAGACCCCACTGATTTTGCTCTGTGGACCAGTAATCTGATTGATAATCTTTAAGCAGGTTTTTATTCATTATTTAATAACACATTTATGTCTTGGCGATTTCGTTTTAGATCTCTTTATACTGCGATTTATATGGTTTGTGGAAATATGGCGAATTAAGATGAAGTATCTATTGATTTTTAACGCAATCATAGATTTCTTATCCTCAAATTTTATTTCAACTTATTCTAAGGTTTATTCTGTAAATTAACTTCAAAATTACATATACCTCATTGGTATAGACCGTCAATGAATGACCTTAGGATAACAATTCTTTAGATATTTCGAGTACTTTGACCCAAAGCTTATTACATTACTATTATTGAAACTAGGTCACAATTTGATGGTCCTGGAAGAATTGAGGCGAATTAAAGTTCAGGATGATTAGATCAAGTAATCGATGAAAACAGTTTTGAGTTATATAATAATGTGTAAGTTCTCTATATCAAGTCCACGGCGTTTTATAAGGAGCTTATATGTGACATGGTTCGCAACGTTATATTTTTTCTATGTTAATTCAATACGTGCCTATATGAAGCAACGTAATATTGTCCTATGTTATACAATATTTTATCTGTGTAAATTATCAGAGTAAATTCACATATACCAGATAGTTAATCTAAACTTTACCGATCCAATCTTCAATCAGAAAGATGTGAAAAATCGTAGTATAACGTTATTTACTCTCACCGATAATATTTAGAGAAAGGCAACCAAGTATTTGTTTAGTTGGGATTGTTCAACAGTTTTCATCTACACTTTGACACTTAATCAAACCTAACTCATTCAGTTTAAAATAAAAAATTAAAGGACCACAATTGAGTAAATTGGTAGGCCAGAGAAAAAGAATACCCAGCCTTTTAATTATCCGACTATAATATTGCATTATATTAAGTACATACGTTTATGATATACTACTCATTCAAAATGTTGTGTTTTTTCGTGTTCCTTTTATAGAGTTTTCACCTGATCTAGCTGTCAAATTAGACAGAAATGGTTATATCAATTATGCCATTCTGATGTATTTAATAGACTTATTATTAAAGCAATGTACTTCATATTTTTCTTAAATTATCGTACATAATTGTTTTACTGTTAATTCAATTCAATTTCAACTATCTCCATGTAAATTAACTATTGATGGAAGTGGATTTTTTTTTTTAAATTTTATCCTTTTCTTTTTTAAATGAAATGAGAATTTATCACTTTCATATTCTTTTGAAGTTCGTATTTTACATTGACAACTTAACATTTCCGTCTATTATTTATTAGACAGAAAATCAAATTTTCTGGTGGAAAAATAATCCAATTCACGAAAGTTGAATTAAAAGTTTTGATTTAAATCAATTCACGAAAAGAATTGGTTCAGCAAAGAGTTCTCTTTTAGGTGAATTCATTTTCAAAACTGGATGATAGCGAATAAGTATTTATTGTTCTAAAATGATAATAATTACAATAATAGTAATCACAGAATCCAGCTAAGCATGGTAACAATGAGGTAGAATAAACAAAGGCATAGAAACGTTATTTTTTCATCAGAAAAAAAAAACTAAAAATAATTTTGTTATTGAGAGCTTGAATATTCATTATTAAGATAGTTAAGAATCATAATTGTGGACGGAAGGTTCAGTAAGATAAGATAAAATGTTGATATTGAAATGAACTGTAATCAAGAGGAGCATACAAACAGAAACGAATTAGTTGAGGGGTAAAGGGTCTTTAGAGAAGATAGAAAGAAAACAGATGGATGTGAAAGAAGAAAAAATTATGGAGTTGATCTCTCGTAAACGATGGTAGTAGAAGAGGTTGTGCTAGTTCTCTTAGGCACAATTCTGGTTTTTCCAGATGTGTAACTAGTGTTGCAGCAATGCTAAGACAATGGAATATAACTGCCCTTGGATGTCTCCTACTTTGTATATTATTTTGAACTCACAATCCGCTTTGATCGGATGACCTGTGTTCACAGGGTGTCTTATTACTGAACTTCTTATTGAGCCATTTTCAGTTAAGTAAATTGATAAACACATAAAATTGGTCAAATGAAATTATTTATCCTTACGTTTATTATTGAACACTGATCAGCTGTAAAGCCCTTCTTAAAGTCGCTACGGAGAATTTCCTATTGATTAATTTCCCGTCGTTCATAGCGTCATTAAAGTTGTATTTAGATATTTTTCGTTCCTTAGGAACATTTTATCAGAGTTCAACGAACACTGATGTTGGGCGACCTACGCTCCTCCAGGAAAGGTAACAGACGTAGGTCTTAATCAGTTTAGAGAGAAATGTTTGCTGCAGACTGGTAAATAAAAATACAAACTACATATTTAGGTAAAGGTCCCATAAGTTGAAAGTAACTCGAGAAGTTTAGCAATTTTCTACTTTGTAATCAACACATTCATGTTCAGAAATATGATGACAGAATAATTAATACAAAATTCTTTGATTTCGAGCAGTTGTGCATACTCCACTTTAAACTTTCCGGTTGCATATTTGCACTCTACCCTATTTCGGCTTTCAACACCCGTATTGCCTTACCAGTCCTGATAGATAAGCTATAGCTTAAAGCTCAATACTTACTTGATTAGTCGATTACATGAAAATCAAAGTAATTTACGTAAACCCTTGTTTAAGATATTGACTAATAGGAAAAGAGAGATAATTTTTTGTAAAGATGAACTTACAACGGACGAAGCTAAACTAACGTACACTGCTACTAGTCGCCATGATCAAATTTACATTTTTTTAATCCTCATATATGAAGTACTACCTGAAGAATTTCGCGAAGAAAGTTTCCAGTTCATATTCAATTACTGTATAATTTGTTTGTTATTGTGCTTTTTGAGTGACCATTTTCTCTCTATTCCTCGACCAAATTCTATAATTTATGCTCAAAAAACAGATACAGTATCACACACTACGTTTTACCTTTTTGAATTATAACCTCATATGGATTCATCCTCAGTACTTTCATTGTAAGTACTCCACTAAGACAGTTTGAAACCAAACAGGCAAACCTTACATAAGGATTATAAATAAATTCGATCAGTAGTATAAAATGTCAGGTATGTACTAAAGGACTAGAATTGGATGAGATTGTTCTTCGTAATATATCATTTTGGAGGTTCAGTTATAGATGAAAATTATAGAAAATTCACCTTACGCATAATTTTCCTCAATACTCAAGGAGTAATGCCATTTCACGATATAATCTATAAACAACTTTCTGTGACCAGCTACTACAGCTAATTCGCTACTACTTTAGCCAATATCATATGTTTATACATACTGGGACTGAAAGAATTTGTTTGAACTGATTTAAATAAAACTCAATTTTATGAACAATATAGTAGGCTAAATAATGATACAATGCATATAAAAACATTTGAAATATAAGATTTTATCTTTCGAAAGAACATCGTCGTATATCTTTAATGAAAAAAAAACGACATTTAGTATATTTTGCGCACTGATTACAAGTTAAAAGGTATATATAATATATAAGCATATATATAAAAAGTATATAGATAGAATAGGTTTTCTATGTAAATAAAGCCCTCGCCTAGACTTGGATACGTCAACTTGCATTTGCTTTCTCACTGATCTATGTGTAGACTGAAGGCTTTACAATCAACTGAATAGTAATAAATTCAGATGTCATCTGATTCTATGCATTGTTTGAAAGTAACAACTATAACGTAGTTCTTTTGAACCAGATAATTCAAATGATTAGCACATTATTCATAACATTCTACGTTTGATATAAGAGTTACCAATAATGTCTGGAGATAACAACTTTCTACGATCAGATGTCTTCATTTCATCAAGTATCTGTAATTAAATAGTATTTAAAAAATAAATATATTTCATACAGTCTATTTAAAGTAAACAATTAGACTGTAACTGTGGTATGTGGTACTTATGTTTGCAAGTATAATTAGTGTGACACCGATTGAAAGTGGAGTGTCTGCGATCGGAATGTTGAAAATATTGAAATGGAAAGAAGAGAAAAAGAAACTGAAAACAGTCGAGATAACAAAAGAAATGAAGGGACAATAAATTCTGTAAGAAATAATTCGAAGATGTGCAAATGACGTATTTAATGTATGATTTTCGCATTTTACTAAATTATTGTGTGATTGTGCATTAAACAATAAATCAGTTTTCCCCAGCACGTCTTTATTCAATGCATAACAACATAATCAAAATGCCCAAGATGTTTGAAACACAATTATTGTTATTTATCTCAATCGAGGTTATAAATTGACTTTTGATGCAGTCCACAAGAAACATATTCACTATTCAAAGTTTTAACATGATTACTGAGAACTTATTAACTGTCGTTAATTGCCACTGATTAAACTACCAATCAAAAGCTAAATTTGAAACGACTTTTTCTTTTAAACTTCATTTGATGCGCTGAAAAATCATATATGACACGAGTAAACTAAAAGTAAAAAAAATCATTTTTTCTAAGGTCATTAAGGCTGCTTTAATAGTAGTGAATCTGACACTTGCAGTCAAAGCTAAAAGTGAACGAACATTCCTGAGACAAATTTTTCGAGATGAACTTGAAGTTTAAATGAATGCATTTTTTCCACGGAGATAGATGACTTAATTGAGAAAACCTTCTGTCGTCGTATTTATAACTGTTGATAAATTAAGAAGAGTTGAGATAAGAAATTTTCTTTTCAACTGAATCTTCTTTGGGTCTATCTATCTATCTATATCTATATCCATATCTATATCTATATATATATATATAATGCAAGTGCTTTGTACTTGAGTAAGTCGATACCATCCAGATGATGATGAGTCAATTTAACAAAACACATCAGCTAGTTACACAACATTCGGAAAATTAAAACTAAGGTGAATAATCACTTAATTACTACATATGGTTACATAGGAGTAGCAGTAGGAGTTAAAATTGAATGCAAATATATATGTCAACAGTTGAGATCATGAATCAATTGAAGCTAGACCACCATGGAAAACCTGGAAGCACTGGATGGCCGTTTCGCTCTACTGTGTAACTCCTCAGCAGTGTGCATCCACAACCCCGCCTCACGGGGTCCGAACCCAGGACCTGTCAGTCTCGAGTCAGGCGCTTAACCAAATAGACCACTGAGCCGACGTCCGACCGTGTTAACGTATATCTTCAACTAATCCACGAAATTCAGCGACACATCCACCACTGTCATCGGTGAGTTATTATCTCACAAATGACTCGGTTGAACTCCTGTGGTCACTGCTTCTCACTAGAACTCCAGGATATACCTCTTGAAACCAGTCACTAGTGAGCATATGTTGATTAGTATCAGAAAGGGATTTTGTGGAGATTGTAGTAATTCCAACATGATTCATGATCTCAACTGTTGAAATTACTACAATCTCCACAAAAACCCTTTCTGATACATATATAAATGTCTTTTGTTATCTGTGAAATTAATGATAAGTAGGACGGGATTTAGTATTAGCAGTGAAAATTAGATGCTATGATTAACAAACAGGATATGTATGATTATAATTAGAAACTAACATTTTAACAAAATGGAGATTCGAGAACTTTTATGGGGGGAGAAAGAAATGTTTTTAAACACATGATAGCGTTCAAATGGATGGTCAGGGAAGATTCAGAGGCTGTATAGACTTCCTCATACAAAGGTTAGGTTTTTTAATATGTATTTTTATGGCTTCTGTTGTATGTAAGAGTCGAATTCCAGAACCAGAGTGGTGAATTTGGTGGCGTCGACCTAATGACGTATAAAGCATATATAGTGTGTAGAGCAAAGATGAAGATTTATTTGAAAAGAAAGATTTGATCGCTCAACTGATCAATATCTCAATGGGAATGTTTTTTGAATTCTCGGTAAACTGACGCTTTTGTATACTTGCATTATGCACTCGTGGAAAATTCGGTACTGAAAATTAGATGTAATTTCAAAAATTTCATGCTGTTTACATATACTGACGTACAAAAGTACAGGGTTTTCGTCTTAAACGTATTTGGAAGATACCAGTGGATTTAACTCTACAAACGTGCTCGAAACAGATTAAGACATCACTAATAAACGAGTTTGCTCTCATGACTCTAGACATCGGCACATGCATTTTAAATGTTCTCTAGGCTTGTTGATATTTCATAAAGCTTGCGTAGGAGAGTTGAAGCGAAACGGTACTTCTACTTGATGAGTTATACAATAATTCAACTCACTGGTGATTATTGTAAGACAAGTAGACGTCTTAGAGAATATCCAAATTACATATTTTAGCCACGTAGCAACGGTTATAGTGACAAAATAACTCAAAAAGAATCA